CAGGATGTTGTACTGCCGTCCAATCAGATGGAAGCAGACAGCTGACAGAAGAACAGTTCAATTGACTCTCAGATCAAGGCACACAAACCTAGCATCTGCACTGTCTAATTAAACCTCCTGCATAACTCTTTTCTCTTCCCTTCTTTGTCACAAACCAGAGTGGGTGAGCAAAAAACAACAGGTATTTACTTCTGAAAAGTTTCAGCTCTCCTAAGCTCTAGATGTCACAGAAAGGAAATAACTGGAAGTTAACTCTTTATTCAACCCATCAGGAACTAAGAGCATAAGCCTTCTTGTAAGTTGACTGTTCTCCATGTGGTGTCTTCAAACAGTTCCTACAAAACTATACTTGTTAATCTTCTGCTGAGTCTTCATATTCTGCCAGCTTCTAGAGTCTCTTCACACCAGCCTTAGTTTCCTTTACCCTCAGTGGCTTAAATCAAAGCCTTCTGGAACTGACTGATCTTTCACTTTTTTTCCTTTTAATTTATTATATTTTTAATTTATGGAATAAAACAAGCATTTCCATAACATAGTACATGAAAAAAAAAGATGTTTGCAGTAAATCTACTATGCACAACTTGTTATTCCTTTCAAATACACAAGAAAATTATCATGTTAATTTCTTTCCCCCCCCCTTTTTTCTTCCCTCCCTTCCCCACAGATGGCTATCATTAGATATAAATGGGGGGTGTGTGTAAACTTATTCTCTATATACTTCTGTTTATCAGTTCTTTCTCTGAATACAGATAGTATCTTCATATGCCCTTTATAGTTAATTTGGGTATTATTAATAATAGACAAAATAACTTATTCACTCAAAATCACTCTTAAAACAATATTGCTGTTAATGTATACAATGTTTTCTTGGTTCTGTTCATTTCTCTCTTCATTATTTGAAGAGCACTCTGGAGTTCTGCCCAAAGAGTTATTAAACTTATTCCTTTGACCCAGCAATACCACTACTTGGTCTATTTCCAGAGATGATTAGGGAAAAAGGAAAAGAACCTATATGTTCTAAAACTATTTGTAGCAGTTTACTTTGTGATGACAAAGAACTGGAAAATGCAGGGATGCCCATCCATTGGCCAAACAAGTTGTGGTATATGATTGTGATGGAATACTGTTGTCCTATAAGAAATGATGACTTCAATGATTTAAGAAAAAACATGGAAAAACTTGAATGAAATAATGAAGAGCAAAATGAACAAGAGCCTTTCATTTTTGAGGTAACAAACTCATTAAATTTCCCCTGTGAAATCAGTATTCCATATTAAACTATCATTTGGTCTTCAAAATTGTTATATCATGTCTCATTTTAAAAATTTTACCATAGTCTTAAAATAATTATATGTAAAAGATCCAAGGGACCACAATGTCCTGCAAATCTAGCTATTTTATCCGTTTTCAACATGGCCCAGCATCTCATTCTGAGTTCTTTTTGAAACTGTGCTTCTTCACAATCACAGTTTTCCAGTTTTTAATAAATGAAAGTTCTTTCTCTGCCCTTTAATACAAACTATTCATTTACAAATGAAACATCACCCTATATCATTTATAAGGTAACAAACCTTTATATTAATGCTGGAATTCATTATCGGCCCCGAATTGCCCAACTTCCATATAACAGCTGTGTTTCCTTACATACATATTTTAGCAGTTTTTAATTAAACCAGAGTTTTTTTCCTAGTTCAGGCATCAGATTATTTATGAAAAAGACACTATTTTACATCCTTTACCAATTGATTTAACTCTCTTTTTTAAAAAAAACTTCTTTTTCTTCCTCCTTCTGCACTAAACTGCTTCATAGGCTTGGGAGGAGGCAAGGAGGGAGAAGAATAGTACCTGAAACATAGATCTGGTCATATCACTCTGATATTTAAAAATATTCAGTGATTCCACATTACCTCCTAAATAAAATTCATATTCCTTTGCCCTTGCATTCAAAACTTTCCCCAATTATTCATCCTCTCTTTCCAGCCTTATATTATTCTCCTCTACATACGCTATTCTTCTACCAAAATGAACTACTCTGTTCCCTAAACATACCCTGAAATTTCCTTTTTCTTTGTGATGTTTATTTCCAAACCTGGCCACCCTCCCCATCTAACTTCCCACTGAAACTCAGACTCTGTTCCTGGGATTATGGGCTCTGATGAGTGAACTTTTGCCTGACTGACCTTTCTCAGAACCCCCTGATCAGGATGCCATAGAGTTTGCATCTACCTCTTCACCCCCAGTTTTTGTTGCCTTCTGTCTTTACACTGTAAGGGTAAGGGTACCCTTACACTCAAGGTAAGGGTACAATCTTGCTTGTTTGTATTTTTGTCTCCAGCACTTAGTGATGGTGGTTGTTGTTGTTTGTCCTTCATTTTCAAAGAGGGTGATATCTTGACTCCTGAGTGAATTGGATTTAAGTGAGGCAGAGTTGCACAAAGTCGTCAGCCTCACTTTGTCTTGCAGAGTCATTGAACTTCAGTGGCAAGACAAAAGTCAGGAGGACTGACTGTCTATTGCCCCAGGATGCAGTTGATGCCTAACCAAGCTCTCAGCACTCCACAGCTGTGCTTCAACTACCTTCATGGCGGTTGGAACAAATTGTTCTCTTCTGGACATTCTGCTGGGGGGTATTCTTCACATGCTTAGGGTAGGTACTCCACTAACTCACTAATGGGTTTTCAGTTGCCCTCAACCTGGTTTAGCCTGTCTGCTGAAATGACTTACTAGTGTGTAGACGCTGCACGTGTTACAGCTTCTACAGGTGAGAGTTGAATGCCAGGTGAACATCAAAGGTGGAGGAACGGCCCTGAAAAGGGCTTAGCAAGCCCTCAGGCCAGAGCTGCTAGTCTTGAACACCCATATACCCAGCACTTAGTACAGTACTTGGTATATAATAGGCACTTAATAATTGCTTTTTGATTTATTCATTAAATACTTTGTGCCTGTAAAATCTTCCCTCTTCCTAGACTGACTAAACCCAACCTTTAAAGCGCTATTCAGATGTCACCTTCTCTCTGTAGTCTTTCCCAAACTCTTTGTCAATTAACTTACCTTTTTTTTTCTTTGACTTCACCTTGTACTTTGTTCAGATTCTGCCTCTGATACACTTAACATTAACTGACCCCTGTAGTCTTCTAAGACACCTACCTATTCCTTGCTTTATACTCTGATTAAATCTGTGAATGTTTTATTCCCTGAGTTCATTGGATCATAGACTCAGAGCTGAAAGAGAATTTAGTTGTTATCTAATCCAGCCTTTTTATTATTCAGATGAGCAGGCAAAAAGTAAGAGGGGTTGCCCAGATAGTAACTGGCTGGGAATCTCATGTCTTCTAACTCCAACACCAGGGCTTTCTCCACTGTACCTACCATATTGCTTTGCTAGATTGTAACTTATCATAGGTGGGGAGATAAGTACTGTCTTAATTAGAAATTTGTATGTCGGGGCAGCTAGGTGGTACAGTGGATAGAGCACTGGCCCTGGATTCAGGAGGACCTGAGTTCAAATCCGTCCTCAGACATGTAACACTTACTAACTGTATGACCCAGGGCAAGTCGCTTAACCCCATTGCCTAGCCAAAAAAAAAAAAAGAAAAAATTTGTATGTCCCTAGTACCTAATACTATGCTTTGTATGCATAGGTGTTAAAAGGAAAATTCGTTGTTGCAGCTTTCATCTTGATTAATGAGGCAAAGCTCAGGAAAAAGAGAATTAGAAGAGTTTATTAAAAATATCACATTGATGGACTGATCACTGGAGATAAGCAAGGGTTTCAAGATGGAGCGAGCTTTTATTGATAACTTTCATAATGAGATAAAGACAGTTAGGATAGGTCCATGTCAGGCAAAGGGGATGAGCCATTGCATTTCAGCTCTTCCCCAGTTGCCTGTACATGATGTTTAACAGGTAGAAGATGATGCTGACAGGTAGGGATACATGCTGGATAGCAGGTTATATAAAAGCTGCAGACTGGGTGATGCCTCCCCCAACACTGATTGATAAGCAGGGCTGAGAACAATGGGTGACAAGTCAGAATAACTTTCAGTATAGGCACATATCTAGATACTAATCTAGATACCAAAGTTCAAAGGAAATTAGAATAACTTATAATGAGGTTCAACAAATAGCAATCATCCAGAGTATTCATGCATGGTCAGTCCACATGAGACAGTGATTAAGAGGATCTACAGATTGTGGAGATCAGGAATAAAGAAGCAAGGGACTTTACAGGTGGCTTCAGGCTGTCTCATGGGTATCACACAGCATACCTTTAAAATGTTTCATGGTTTGGGAAAGAAGTTGCCATATCTGTTAGTAAGAAGGTACAGGACCCTGAAGTACATAAGTACCAGGGACAAGATGGAAGGATTTTACAAAATGGAGTCATTTTGGTTGCTTTGATACCTACAGCGCTTAAGTGTTGGTTGACTTTTTTTTTAAAAAGTCTCGTTCCTTGCTAATCACTTCATTTCTTACCTAGTTATCCCTTCTAGCAAGAAGATAAGGTTTTCGACTTCAGTTTTTATAAATTTAATACTGGGTTAGGGGAAGATTTTGGTTGCCTTTTAAGACTGAAATGAAATATTTTGGGGATTGAAGTGTTTGTTGTTGTTTGCTTGTTTTTTTGTTTTTAAGTGATGGGAAAAGGAATGGCCCATTACCATAAACAAGCTTTTCACAAGTCTTTGAGAAAATTGGCTTCCTCAACAAGTTGTACTTATTTGGTAGGGATTTTATTATTTTAATCAAAATGATTTCACTAAATTTATATGTTAAAATACATTTAAATTCTAAAAAGTATTTACTATATTGGTTGTATTTTATATCTTTGCTAGTAGTACTTCTGACTTTCAAAAAAACCTCTTGCTTTGTTTGTTCCAACAGAGACTAGGTTATGAGCATGAAAGAGTTCTTGTTATATTTTTTATATGACAGCATACTCATGATCTAAATCTTTTGGTGGAATGAGACAGTTATTACCTGTTATATTTGTTTTTTAGGTTTTGTGTTGCTCACATAAGAACCTTCAGAATGAGCAGTCGACGGAAGCGTGCCCCTCCAGTCAGGGTGGATGAGGACAAGCAGCAACAACTCCGTTGGAATATGCACGAAGACCGAAAAAAGGACGTGATTATCCTTGATGATGATTATGATGATGATGATGAAGAACCTATCCCAGGCCCAAGTTCCTCATCTATTCCTTTAATTGTTATAGAAGATGATAGTCCAGAGGAGGAAGAAGAGCACAAGACCAAAAGAAGATGTTTGAAGTCAGTGACTTCATTAACAGATGAAGAGGAAACTGCCTGTATTTTGCCATCTTTATTTGTAAAATTAAATATTGTCATTTCCCCTTATCACCTAACTAATTCTTGGAAAGCATTTTTAGGTGAGCTAACTCTACAGCTTCTTTCTGAGGAGATTTTAATTGAAAGTTTTCATGAAAGAAAGTTTACTTTAATGACAGCAGATTCAAGTGATCAGTTGCAGATCTCTGTTCATCCAAAGTCTAAAGAGGTGGAAAACCAACAAGAAGGACTTGAAGAGCCTGACACTGTTTCCGAAAAGAGTGTTTTGGTGGAATCATCCTTCAGTAATGAAATGTTAGAAGATCTGAGGTGGCTGCAAAAGAAGAGAATAATAGAACTTTATCACAGACCTGAAGGGATTCAAACCATCAAGGTGCTCAATAATAATTTATCTTAACTTAGCAATAAGTTTTTATGGGTTAAAAAAAAAGTTCTGAAAACCTTGCATAAACTAAATTTCATAGAATATTATTTCTGGAAAGGACCTTAGAGATAATCTCTAGTCAAGACCCTGATTTAATGGGTGAATAAAGTGAGCACACAAGGTTAAGAGACTTAATTTCCTAAGGTCACACAGAGAAACAACAGGTCAATAAACATTTATTGAGTGGCTACTTTGTGCCAGGCACTGTACTAAGCTCTGGGGATACAAAAAGAAGCAAAAGACAGTCCCAGCTCACACTCTAATAGGGGAGAGAACAAGCAGACACATATGTACAAAGAATCTACATATAAGTAGGAACAAATTAAGAGGGGTTGTGAAAGACTTCCTGTACAGTAGATGAGATTTTGTTGTTGTGTTTGACTTTTGTTCTCAAAGAGGACCATGACATCAGGGAGTTGATGACATGACTTGCAATTGATTTTGATTTGAGTGAAGGAGGGCTGTGCAGGGTCACCAGCCTCACTTTCTCCTCCAGAGCCATCTGGGTCCAGTGGGCAGATATTCATCAGGGCGACGGGAGGTGGCCCAGCAGATGAGATTTTAGTTGGGACTTGAAGGAAACCATAGAAACCATAGGGGAGATGAGGAGTAGGAGTGTTCTGGGCAGAGAGGACAGTACAGAGAATGCAGAGTATTCAAGTTTAGAATCCAGTTTTCCTGATTTCTAATTCATTGTTCTTTCTACCTTATCAAACTGTCTATACAAGCATTTACTCTCTCGAAATCGAATATGTTTGGGGGTTTTTGGTTAGTGTTAAAGATTTATGGGCTATTTTGACTAAAGTTTCAAATTCTCTTTGGGCTTTCCAAAAGAAGAGTATCATAAAAATCCAAATAATTGTCACTAATCCTGGCCAGTGCAAAACTTTACCACAGTGATATCTTGTACTTCCTGTAGAGACAAATCAAAGTGAAAACTCACTGAGTTCTTAACAAGAAATGTGCACAAATATTAGGATGGATCCTATTGTTTTAAGGTAGAAAATACTAAAATGGTGTCCATCATCCATTAATCATTTTTTAGCCTCTGAAAGTACAGGAATTTATTCTTATAACAGGAGTTTGTCTTCTGTGGATTTGAGTTTTTAAAAACCTTTTTTTGTTATTTTTAAAAGTGACATTTTACTTATGGTTTATAACATTTATAAGTAAAATTTGTGGCTTGTAAACACAATGATCCCTTTGGTTCTTGGCTTTGTCATTCATTTTACTGAGTTTAATTTTCTCTGTGCCTAGTCTTCTTCATCTCTATTATAATAACTATACTAATTGCCTATTGTCATTATGTTATGGATCACATTTTAAAATAACATTTTGTAGTATACAAAGTACTTTGCCCACAGCAACCCTGGAAGATAGTTAGTGTACATATTTATTATCCCCATTTACAGCTGAGGACTTTGAGCCTGAAAGATTACTTAACTTGCCCAAGATTGTATGGCTGTTGAGTATTAGAGCAATACTTAAAACCTTAACTCCTATGTTCTATTGTGCAGCCTCTATAATTATTGTACCATATTTACAAAAGTATTTTCGCCTTCATATATTTCTCCATAAGTACTTTGAGAAGAAAGTTAAGAAGTTTTCCTTGCGTTTAATTACCATATCTCTTACCCCATTTTTTCTCATTTGGAAAAGTAACCCAAAGTGTTTGTCAAGCATTTTTTCTTTCCTGGTCAGACAGTTTTGATTTAAAGAAGCAACAGGCTGCTGCCCCTCTGGCTGGGATAGAGAAATAGAAGAATTAACCAGTACTTCTCTGTCTCCTTTTGCTGACATTTTTCATTTTTCTTTATGAGGCTTTCTGGTCTAATTAATGTGAGGGCGCAATTCTGGTTTAAGAAAACTAAAGTCAAACAGTCATTCCAAGTGAGCAGTCAGGATCACTAATCAAGGAAAGGTCATAAACACAGTAATGAGGTTCTGGGTTGAAACAGAGGCAGCAAGTGAGATCAGTTACGTTGAAAATAAAGAGAAGAACAGAAGAATTCTCTATTTCTGGTTGGGTAGATTACCAGTAAAAAAATAAAATGCCCAGATGCTTCCCTCTGTTTCTAATCCAGGCTAGGTATATCCCAGAATGGCACGTCAGCTGGCTTTCTTATAGGAATCTAACATCCATCTTTCTTTTCTTTCAGCCCCCATTGATGGGGATGAAAGCTTGTTGACATCCTGATGTACTAACATTCTGTATTAAATGTTGTTGTTCAGTTGTTTCACTCGTGTCCAACACTTTGTGACCCCATTTGGGGTTTTCTTGGCAAAGATACTGGAGTGATTTGCCATTTCTTTCTCTTCCTCATTTTACAGATGAGGAACTGAGGCAAACAGGCTTAAGTGATTTGCCCAAGCTTACACAACTAGTAAGTGTCTGAGGCCAGATTTGAACTCATGAAGATGAGTTTTCCTGACTCTAGACCCAGCACTTTATCCACTGTGCCACCTACCTGTCCTTCTGTAATAAATAATAATATTGAAATGGGAGCACAATAGCTGCCTTCCTTTTTTCTTTTAGACGAAAATTGCATAGGTCCCAAAATAAATACTTGAAAGAAAAGGAAATCCTAAATTTCCTCTTCATTTTTTTGTGTATTTCCCCTGGAGTTCTCAAAAACATAAAGTAGTAGTCTTGATTCAAAATTGAGGAATTGCTAAAAGAAAAAAGTTAGAAATGTTAGATTATAATTACTTTGTCACTGATTTCTGTGTAATTCTGGATGAGTCATCCTTCTTTAGTAAATGAATGTAACAGCTTTGTTGTTTTTGTTGTATTGAGAGCTTTAAAGATAATGAAAAGTTCCAAGGACCAGGATAGATATTTATATGTTTCCCTGTCACCTCTTGTTTCTCATTTTAGTGGGAAAATATCTGTGTATATATACATTGATATTTATGGTAAAGAGAATATTGCATATTAGTATATATAGAATAGATACTAAATCTAACATAATTATAAAAAAGCAGTGTTGAGATTTTCATTGAAAAATGATAAAGAACAATCATGTTCATTGAGCATGTTTTCCTCTTTTCCCATAATGCCTTTTTAAATATTGGTATATTCTGAACTTTTTATATTATTGGTGAATATGTTTCTCTAGGTTGCAATATATCTCTTGGAAGCTGGCTTAGCCAAGCCTGATTTTCTCAGTGATGGAAGTGGAAGAATGAAAAAGGCCAATCAGCTGATCCAGAAACTAATGGAAAAGTTTTACAACTTTATAATTCCAGGTAATTTCTATCTAAAAATCTATATTTGAACTATTACTACTTGCCAATATTTTAGTTTTGTGAGAACTATGTTAAGCAAAACTTTAATAATGGTAGTTTAATAACTACCTATATTGAATCACTTTAGGTAAAATTAATAATAGGAATTGAAATCACTTACATTACATTTGTTAGTAATGTTTGGTTACTAGAGTGTAACTTGGAAATAGAAAGAATGGTAGAGACTGATTTGGGACCTCTCATTTAAATCTAAGCTTTAGTTATAGAGCACAGGGGTAGTACATTTTTTTTTATGTTAAATAAAATCTACCTTTTGTCTTAATCAGTTAACGAGCATTTATTAGACATCTGCTATGAGTGAGGCATTATACTAGGTGCTGGAGGAACAAATAGAACAAATGAAATTACTCTCCAGGAGCTTGCATTCTAGAGGGGGAGACAACAGGTAGGTACGTACATACATATACATATGTACGCACACAAAACCCCCCAAACATGCATACATACATATACATGCACTTATATATGTATGTGTATATGTGTGTAGGTGGTTTCGCACACACAGACACACACTAAATCTCAAATAAATACAAGCTAGTTAGAGAGGGATGACACTATTAAGCAGTTGAGAGGGATTTGGTGTTAGGAAAAGTGTGTAAAAGTTGGTTCTTGGCCTGTGACTTGGGATTCTATGAGGCAAAGGTGAGGAAAGAGTGCATTCCACACAGCAGTGATGGTTGCACAAAGGCAGGGAGATGGGTGCTGGAGTACTATGTATGAGGAACAAGGAGAAGGCTGGTGTGGCTGGCCTGTGGTGATCAGAAATAAGAGTAATGTGTAAGCAAACTGGAGAGAGAAGTTGGGGCCAGATTGTGGAGGACTTTAAAAGCCAGAGGAGATTATATGTGATCCTTGAGGCAACAGGGAATCACTGGAGTTTATCTTAGAGGCAATAGAGAATTATTGATATAGAAGAGTGACACGGTCAAATCTATATTAAAAGAAAATCACTTTGACAGCTTTGTGGAAGATGGATGGGGGGAGGTGAGACATGAGGCAAAAAGACCAAATTGGAGACTGTTACACAGTAGTGTAATTAGCATTTTTGTAGCACATTAAAGTTTTCAAAAATTTTACTTATGTTAACTCATTTGATCCTCACAACATTACTGTTATCCCCACTTTATAGATTATCATCATCTCCATTTTAAAGATGATGAAACTGAGGCAGACAGAAGTTAAGTGACTTGGCCAGGGTCACATAACTAGTGAGTGTCTGAGGCAGAATTTGAAATAAGATCTTCCTGACTCCCAAGTCCTGCACCCTTTTGACTTCACCACCTGGCTGCTGAGAGGTGTTGATATCCTGAACTACAGCAGTGGCTCTCAGTAGAGAGAAGGGGTCTGATGTGAGGATTGTTATGGAAGTAGAAACAAGATCTGGCTACTGACTAGATTTGTGGGATGGAAAGTCATGAGTCAAGGATGATACTAACATTGGAAGCCGGGAAGACTGGAAGAATGGTGGTGCCTTTGACAGAAATAAAGAAGTTTAGTAGAGGTGTTGTGATATGGGGCTAAATATATAGATCTGTGAATCATCTGCATATTGATAATAATTAAAGCAGAAGAAGTTGAAGTGACTGAGTGAAGAGAGAAGGAAGAAGGCTTAGGATAGAGGCTTGGAAGACACTCAGTTCAGGATATTACTGATCCAGCAAAGGAAACAGAGAAGGAGCAGCTACACAGATAGGAGAGCTAAGAGAAAATAATGTCATGGAATTCAGAAAAGAGAGAGTATCTAGGAGGACAGGGTAGGCAATAGCATTATTTAAAGCAGAGAAGTTCAGAATAGTGGTGAAAAAGACTGTAAGATTTGTCGATTCAGATTATTAGTAACTTTTGAGAGAGCAAGTTTAGTTGAGTGATGAGGTCAGAATTCACATTGTAGAAGGTTAAAGAGTGAATGAGAGGAGAGAAAGTGGAGGTGATAAGTGATAGCTTTTTTAAGAGTTTGCCTAAGTGAGAAGAGATATGGGATGACAGCTTGAAGGGAGAATAGAGCCTAGTAAAGAACAGATTTGGGTATGTTTGAAGGCAGCAAGGAAAGAATCATTACATAGGGAGAGATTGAAGATATGAGAGAGAAGGGAGTTAATGGGCAAACTCCTGATGAAGATAGGAAGGGTTGAAATCAAGGTCATATACAGAGGAGTTGGCCTTGGTGAGAAGGGTGACCTCATTATCAGAGACAGGAGAACATGAGATGTCATCAAGAGGTCTTAAAATGAAGAGAATGAAAGAGGGTGCTCAGATGGCTTCATTTTCCCAGTCAAATTAAGATCCTGAGCTGAGAGGGGGGAAGGGAAGTTGTGGGAAGCTTGATGAGAGAAAAGGTTTGAAATTGATTCTGTGGGGAGTAAAGTAGGGAATTATTTAGAGAGGAATAAAAAAGAATGCCTTGCATCAGTGAGGGCCTACTTAAAGTTAGTTAACAAAAATTTGTAGTAGATCCAGTCAACACTGTTGTGTGACTTCTGCCATCTCTTTTAAGTAGCCCTTGTGTTGGAGTTGAGGAGGTAGTGGAAGGAATTTGAGAATAGAGGACAGTGTGGGTTGAATTGATTAACTATAATGTCATGATTGGGCTTTTAAAAAATTATTTATTTATTTATTTTTAGTTCTCAACATTCACTTTCATAAGATTTTGAGTTTTAAAATTTCTCTCCCTCCTTTTCCTCCCCCCTCCCCAAGATAGAGTGCAGTCTGATGTAGGCTGTACATAGACATTCCTATTAAACATATTTTCACATTAGTCATGATGTATAGAAAAATTAGAACTAATGGGAGGAACCACAAGAAAGAAGAAATAAAACAAAACAACAAAAGAAAAAGAGACCAAATAGTATGCTTCCATCTGCATTCAGACTCCATAGTTATTTCTCTGGATGTGGTTAACATTTTCCATCATGAGTCTTTTGGAGTTGTCTTAGACCCTTGTGCTGCTGAGAAGAGCTAAGTCTATCAAAGTCAGTCATCTCATATTGTGGCTGTTCCTGTGTACAGTGTTCTCCTGGTTCTGCTCATTTTACTCAGCATCAGTTCGTATAAGTCTTTCCAGATTTTTCTGAAGTCAGCCTATTCACCATTTCTTATAGCACAATAGTATTCCATTACATTCATATACCACAACTTGTTCAGCCATTCCCCAATTCATAGGTATCCCCTCAATTTCCAATTCTTTGCCACCACACAAAGCTATAAATATTTTGTACATGTGGGTCCTTTTCCTGTTTTTGTGATCTCTTTGGGATACAGACCTAGAAGTGGTATTGCTGGGTCAAAGGATATGCACAATTTTATAGCCTTTTGGGCATAGTTCCAAATTGCTCTCCAGAATGGTTGGATCAGTTCACAACTCCACCAACAATGTATTAGTGTTCCAATTTTCCCACATCTTCTCTAATATTGATTTGTCATGTCAGCCAGTGTGATAGGTGTGATGTGGTACCTCAGAGTCGTTTTGATTTGCATTTCTCTAATCAATAGTGATTTAGAACATTTTTTCATGTGACTACAGATAGCTTTAATTTCTTCCTCTGAAAACTGCCTATTCATATCCTTTGATCATTTATCAGTTGGGCAATGAGTTGTATTCTTAAAAATTCGACTCAGTTCTCTATATATTTTAGAAATGGGGCCTTTATCAGAGACACTGGCTGAAAATAGTGTCATGATTATTAAAGAAGGAAAATGAAGCTTGAGGATGATATTGGTCTAAGGAAATACTTAGGGATGGAGGAATTAGAGGTCTTCTGTGGTACATTTAGTAGAGATGAGGCATGCAAAAACAATGGAATGATAGCAAGCCTTGGTCAGATAGAGGAAAGGAATGTCAGTTTTTGAACAAGGAAGTAGACTATCTGTGTGAAATGGTAAATTCCCAGAAGTGATTACCCCTGTTCGTGACTGAGATCAAATGAAGAAGTAGGACATAGTATTTGAGAAAATTGAGGAATTAGGTTAGGGTTGTTTGAGGAAGCATCAAAATGAATGTTTCCCAATATAAGGCTAGAAGTTAGGCATGTAAGGAAAACAGTGAGCTAAGTGCTGAACTCCTTGAGAAAATAAGGATAATGGCCTAAGGGTCAGCAGATAACAATTAGCATGATCTTTATAGGGTGAGAATAGTTCAAAGTGAATTCAAAGACTGTTTCTGAGTGATGATAGAGAAGGGAGAGTCTGGAAGTGGCAGTGTAGAGCAACAATCATTCAACAGTTCCCCACCAGAGCCACTGTGTGCTTTGGGGATTTAAAAAGAGGTGTAGATAGTGTTAGGGAGAATGTCCAGGGATGCAGTGTTGTTTGGTGGAAGTCCAGATTCACTGATAGCGTACAAAGAGTAACAGAGGAAGAGGTCCAGAATGAAGGGAATGTGTTCATTATGGAATAGGAGTTGTATAGGGCAAAATGAAAGGGTTGGGAAGAATTGGAGGAAGAGTGGGGCATAGATGTGGTAGAATTGAAGAGGATGGGGATGAGAGAACAAGATATGGAAGTTGGGGATAATTTACTTACACGTAGGTAGTAATTAAGCAATACAGGACTAGGAATAATAATAGGTAGTAGGAGTTTGCTAGCAATACATATAATAGTCTGTGGCCAATGAATTAGTATGCTCACAGTCTCTATGGGGTGATATTGCAGGGCAGAGCCAAGGGCCAGTGGACCTCTTGGTGGAACTAGCTGTATTGTAGGAATAGATGGTGCTGGGTCTAAGACACTGACTTGTAAGATTATAAATTTGACTTCCTTGTACTATATTGGCAGTTTAGGGGAGGGCCAAGGAATAAGCTTTTATATAGAACTTAGTATGTGCTAAGCACTATGCTAAGTGCTTTTTACAAATATTGTTTCCTTATGACCATAGTGCCTACCTAGTTTAACTTAATCTAATATTGATTTCCAAGCCCAGTATTGTTGCCATGCCCTGATTTTCCTTTTATTGCTGCATACTGTATACATTTATCTCATTTTAAAAAATTATTTTATGAATTATTATTATTTATTATCTTCCCTTCCCACTGTCCCCCACTGAACAATATTTTTTAGAAAGAAAAAGTCCTCATAAAATATTCATAGTTCAGCAAAATAAATTTCCACGTTGGCTTTGTCCAAAAATGTGTCTCATTGTGAATTTAAAATCTATCACCTCCCTAATAGGAAGTAGATAGCATGTTTCATCTTCAGTCTTCTGGACTAGAGGTGTCAAATTGGCACATGCAGCCTGAACCAGACTAAAAAATAATTGGAAGTGTTTAGCAAAATAAATAAAAATGCAATACTATAATGATAATATTAACTTGTGATTTTCTAAGTCAGTGTGTCACTTGCAGGGATCCCTTTCTCTTCAAGTTTGACCCTTGGCTTTGGATTTGTGGTTTTATCATTGCATTGATCAGAGTTCTAAAAAAACTTTCAAAATTATTTTTCTTTATAATGTTATATAAATTGTTTTCCTATTTATGTTCACTTCACTGTTAATAGTTAATAGAGTTCTTCCACATTTCCTATGAGACTATCCATTTCATTATTTCTTATGGCACAACAATATTTAGATGTTCCCGATAGGTGGTCACTCCCTCAGTTTCCAGTTTTTGGCTACCATGGAAAGAGCTGCTTTAAATATTTTTGTCCATGTAGGTCTTCTGATTTCTTTGGTGTTGCTAGGTCAAAGAGTATATGCATAGTTTAGTAACTTTGGGGGAATAGTTCCGTATTGCTTTCCGTAGTGTCTTGATCAGTTATCAGAATCCTCAGTGGTGAAATTGTTAGCCTGTTTTCCTGTAGTTCCTCCAACATTTGTCATTTTTGCTACTGGGGGTATAAGGTAGAACCTCAGAATTGTTTTAATTTGTATTTCTCTAATTATCAGTAATATGGAGCATTTTTTCATATAGTTGTCGATAACTAGGATTTCTTCCTTTTAAAACTTCCTATTCATATAATTTGACCATTTATCTATTGGGGAATAACTCTTAGTCTTCTAAATTTGAATAATTTCCTTTTAAATATTGACTAGGAAATCTTTATTGGAAAAACTTGTTGCAAAGATTCTTTCCCCCTAAGCATCTATTTCCTAACTAATCTTAACTGTATTGATTTTGTTTATTCAAAACTTTTTGAATTTTACATAGCCAAAATAGTCGGTTTTGCTTCTATGATGTTTTCTGTTACTTGATTTGATCTAATGCCTATTGCTGAGTTGAACTTCTGTTTTAGTATTTCTGCCATAATCATAAAATACCTACACCAAAAAATATACAATTGTCCATATAATATAAATTTGTCCATATCAAGAAAAAGTCAAGAACTGGAAGGTGTATTATAATCATATAATCATTTAGGACCTTTTCCCCTCTACTAGCCTGTCAGCTCTGTGAAAGACAGTATAATATTCCATCTAAATTTGGAAACTCCCCAGAACCTAGTATAATGCTTTGCATTCAGTATATGTGCTTAAAAATGTTTGTTGAATTGAAATTACCTTGTATGGGGTAATGGTAGAGAATCCTGTTTACATTCTAAGGTTCTGTAGTAAGAAGGTATAATCATGAAAAATCTAGAAGTTAGATATGTCTTAGATATAGTAAAAGTACTATGAGTTCTTGTTCCATTCTTTTAAAAATAAATTAGTTTTAATGAATGCTTTTCAATTTGCACAGATATTTTGGAGGAGGATGAAGAAGAGTCTGATAGTGAACTGGAGAGACAGAACATTGAGGAATTATATGACTTTGTAAGACATACACACCAGCAAGAAGCTCAGTCCCTGCAAGAAGATGTCCAGCATCCTGCGCTGATTCCTGTACTGAGGCCATACCAAAGTGAAGCTGTTAACTGGATGCTGCTACGAGAAAATTTTAGAAACTCTCCTGCCAGTGGCAAGTATAAGATATTTAAAGTTAAGGCACAGAGCAGCCTTAGTACTCTAGGAAGGGATGGGAGGAACAGGGGGCTAAGGAGAGAATCGGTCACCAAGCAGGATGTCAAAAGGGAAAGTATGAAACAGGGTTATGCACAAAATGTGTTTTTTAAGAAATTCCTTGGACATATAGATGATCGGTATCATTCGTGTATGATTAGGGCTTATTTGTGAAATTTATTAGAGTGATTCTTCTTCCTATACCAAATTAAGATGTCTTGATCCAGTTTAAGAAGCAAGAAATCTGGGGCAGCTAGGTGGCTTAGTGGATAGAGCACCGGCCTTGAAATCAGGAGGACCTGAGTTCACATGTGGCCTCAGACCAAACACTTGACACTCACGAGCTGTGTGACCCTGGGCAAGTCACTTAACCCCAATTGCCTAAAAACAAAACAAAATTTAAAAAAATAATAAAAATGAAATGATCATTTAAAAAAAAAAGAAGCAAGAAATCTGATCACTAGTGGATTAGCCCCTCTAGGAGTGGCTTTCACAAACCTCATGAGAGATGGTAAAGAGTAGTCTGACTTCCCAATGAAAAAGCTAGATTAGATTATTCATCTTTAAGGACCTTTCTAGCCCCAAAATCCTGTGTTTTAAACAATATTTTCTTGATGAAGTAGAGAAAAGGGGAGATATGATTGGTTTTGTGTGATATTCCCAGATAAATACTAACTTCCTTGGCCTTGTTCTTTTGTCAATTTCCTATTCATTATTCATGGACTACTTATTCTCAAAAAGGCAGGGAATTTCCAAAGATTGCATACTTCATCTTCCTTATCTTTTCTCATGCCTCCAGAGACCTTACTCCTGCTTTTATAACCATCTTAATAAAGATTGGAATAAATTGGATATAATTTTGAGTGGAAAACATTGACTGTCTAATCACAGCTCCTTTATAGATTTCTTTAAATTGATCAGTAATCTGTTATTAATTTCTCTTTTGCTTAGTAGTTTACATTTTTGAGGGAATTAAATCTTTTTAGAAAAATTTTTGCATTCATTTCCATATTCTACAACTGCCTTGTTTTAATTTTGATATTTAATTCAGTTTAATTCAAATATAAATTCATTGAATTTATAATTCAGTTATAATTTTAATATAATCAAAGATTATACTTACATGTCTACTTTCCTTGTAGTTAGAGGAACATACAGGCCAGTATATCTGTTCCTTATCTATTAGACCTTGCTCCTAAGGCCCCTATTGTCATCCTTTTCCTGCCCCAACCCCTCCTAAAAAGCCCCTTTGTAGTCTGAATCCTGAATACCTATGACACGTGTTCTTCTCATTTCTATCCCTTGAAATCTTTTCATTTTCTTTAAGGGCCAGTGTAGGTGCCACCTCTTCCTTGTAGCCTGTCCCTTGATCCCCCTCCTCAGCTAAAAGTGTTTTTTGACTTCTCACATTTTCTTTGAGAACTTTGTTTAAATCTGCTCTTTGCTCCTACACCTTCTCATTTCCATTGTACTTTATTTGTATACATGTTGTATTTCTCCACTAGATTATAATATCCTTGAGGTCAGGGGATTGTGTCAGTTTAACTTTTGGAATATCTAGCTTGTAGCACAGTGCCATGTATGTTGTAGACAATAAATATTTGTGAAATTGAGTTGAATTGAATTTTAAATATCTGTTAGAAAATAAACAAATTACACATAGGACCATCTCCCAAATTGTCATGTTCTACTTGTCATATTTTTTCTTCAGATATATTTATTTTGCTTTTAGGTCAAACTAGTATTTTAATTTAATATTTGGAATTTTTCCAAATGAGGCCAAACCTTTTCTGCCTGTGTTCATGGAAAAGGTATGGTCTTATTTTAGGGGAAGCACAATTTGTTCTGAAAAGCACTGAGAACTAAGAGGAGGAGAATTGTAATCTCTGTTCAGTGTTTAATCATAACATTATTTTTGAGGATTTTGTGAAAATCTTCCCCATTTTGGGGGGTTCTAATCAGTGATTTCATTTGTTTTGAGAGTTCTAGTATGGAAACTACACTTGTGCAGATCAACAACTTTTTAAATTTATAGACTTGGATACCTACTTGAAACACTCTGAAGTTAAATGACTTGCCCATTTTCAGTTAATGTGTTTCAGAAGTATAACTTGAACTTGGGTTTTCCTGATTCCAAGGTTGACCCTTTATACTATACTCCCCTGCACCTTGTTGGATAAATGTTTTTAAAATTATGCATATGAATTTCTTCTTCCTGATCACTTCCTATCATGTTTTGAAGCTTTTTTATTATCTTTCTTTCACCTTCTTTATCTAGGAAATATTTAAAGTCCATAGTAAGACAAGCTAAATGGGAATTATTGGTAGAAATAAACAGAAGGGGTGCTTATATACTGTTGTCTCAGTGTTACCATGAAATTTTAAGGGATCCAGGTCAATATCCTGGTGGAGCCATGAGTTCACATAACTTCATTTTCACTTCAATTTCTGGTTCACCTATCAAGCATCTTAACCTTTCTGAGTCTCAGTTATCTGTAAAGAAAGTATCAACCAATCAGCAAGCATTTAAAGTGTCCATGGCAGGCACTATGCTAGGTGATGGGGATAAAAGACAAAAAAAGTCATCTCTTTCATTCTTTGGGGGGGAAAGATTCATCGAAGTGAATACAAAATATTGAACATTAAATACAAAACATTTTAGGGAAAGGCAGTAGCAATTGGGGAAATCAAGAAAGGCCTCCTGTAAGAGATGGCATTTGAGCTGAGCTTTGCTGGAAATTAAGGATTTTAAGAGATGAAAAAGGAGTGCATTCTAGGGAAGGACAAGCAGTGCTTCTGGAGCTGAGGGATGAAGTTTTGTGTGGGAGGTACAGCAAGCAGGCCAGCTTGACTGGTGAATAACAGTAATGGGTAATAAGCATAGAAAGGTAGGCTAGAGTCAGTACCTGTCCTACCTGCCTCACACAGGGTTTCTAAGGAGTTGTACAGTGTGCATGAAAGTCTTTGAAACATTGTAAAGCACTATTGAAATGTAAAGCATTATAATTGGGAGGAAAATGAGAGAGAGAATGTTCTTATGGCTCTTTTCTTCTTTAGAAAATACCTTACATTTCTTATGGAGAGAGGTCATTACAACAGAAGGGATGAAATTTTACTATAATCCATTTACAGGCTGGTAAGGCAATTTTTTATTTATAAATGTGCTTCTTCACTCTCCCAGAGCCGATATCCCCATGTATATATCCATACAGAAAGCCTACAGAAGAGATTTGTTGAGAACCTCACTGTCCATAGCATTGCCTAATGAACGAATACTTAGTGAAAATCTTGCTAAAGAGTTTTACGTAAAGGACAAATATAGAATAAATAGCATTTGTCCCTTTTTCATTTAGTAAATGCCAAATAATGGATTCAAGATACCATGAAGAATTAGAATGAGCATAATTTGAGGCTGTGTCACTGTGTTCATTGTGGATCAGTTATTTTTTTTAAATTCAAGTATTCCTCTGTGCTGAAAAGGTTTTTGGTAGTCACTGGAAAATATTTGATGATTTAATGCCCAGATGACTACTGTTCTTTATCTTTTCTATTCAGAGATTATTTTGAAGGTCACAGTAAAGAGATGGGCATTTTTCTTATTTTAACCATAAGGAAGAAAAATTATAGTTACCAACACAATTCATTGTGTCCTATTGCAAGATTAGTTGGTATTATAACTTAGTTGTCTTTTTTGGTTGAGTATCATAGTTTCCATGTTTAGGTTTCTAGAACTTTAAGTACTTTCACTTTTTACGAAGTAATATAGTCTCAAGAATCTTCATTTTAATGTAGCTCTTGCCGTTTTCTTTAGAGTAGCTACTTTGTTTGAATTACTTTGACATGTTTTTTTGCTTTGTTTGACCTTTCCTTTAGCATCATCCGTGAATACCCAAATGCTGGGCCACAGTGGCCTGGTGGCATCTTAGCAGATGAGATGGGTCTGGGGAAGACAGTGGAGGTTCTGGCTCTGATTCTTTCACACACTCGACAGGATGTCAAACAGGATATTCTAACACTGCCTGAGGTAGGATGACCTTATAATGCATAGGGAAGCAAGGGACTTAGTATGTTCAAGAAAAGCAGCATGTTCTGAATGCTTGTTTTGACACAAAAGTCAAAGCTTTTAATATTCTGTGGAACTGAAGATAGTTAATTTGGAAGGGTTAGACCTTTTTGTGACACTCGAGCTGGCCAACTAAACTGTTGCCTCTTTCATTGTTGCCATAGGTTAGCAATGAAAACATCTTTGCTTGAGTATTGACAGTGATCTGCTACCTGCGAAAATGTTACTATTTCTCTTATTTACAGAAGCCTCAAATTACAACCTAAAAGACTTGAGAACCATTACGGGCACTTAATGAAGCAATGTGACAAACCTGAGACATGGGAATAACAGAATCTGAGTTGAAAGGGACCTTAGAGGTCATGTGATCCAACCCATACCTGAACCCCTTACATTTATCCAGAATACCTTAGTAAATAGCTAGTATGCCTAAGAGTCCAGTTTTTTAAAGTAGACTGTATATTCTTAAGCCATTGCCTTCTACCAAAATTGACTTTTCCTCAACCTCTGAAAAATTCAAATTTAGAATTTATATGCAAAAGAAAACCAATTTGAGATTGACAAACCCAAAGTTTTATATAATGGTATCTAAAATTTAAATTCTTTACCTATAGCATTTAGAACCTTCTCCCATCAGCCATTCTACTTTTCCAAATTGATTTCATTAAATCTATTCTCAGAACAGAGGACTATTGACTACTTATGAAAGCCATCCCTTGTACATGTCTCCACTGTCAAAACCCTTCTCTTTCTTCAGGCAGGCCAAGTGCTAACTTCTCCTTGAAGTCTTTTCTGATCCCCATAGGGAAAGTAATTTAATTTACCTTCACTTTAAATTTTTTTTAATGCATTTCTTCTAGATTTCTCTTTTGCTTTTCTCACCATCTACTTTGTGTCATACTTATATTTGTTTACATTTTATCCCCTCATTAGGTTATAAGGCAGCCTGATGTATTGGACTTGGAGTCAGGAAGACCTGGGTTCAAATGCTGCCCAAGACATTTATTAGCTTATTGGCCTTGAGCAAGTTACTTCACTTATCCAGTCTAAGCCTCATTTTGCTCATCCGTAAAATGTAGATAATAATAGCATCTACCTTATAGGATTGTCATGTGGCTCAAATGAAATATGGTATGAAAACACTTCAGAGGGATATGTAAATCCCAGACATTTATTTTATAAATGTATTTCAAAGATCTGAGTGTGTAATTGGCTTACTGAGTAAACAACTCAAGGCATATTGATAGTGCCATCTTTGTTTGTAAAGGGACATTTCCTTTAATTTCTTATAATTAAGTGGACATTCTTGATGATAACTTTTCATTAATTTATTGGAAAATATTATTTCATGATTATATAGTTGAAGTGCAAGGGACTAATTTGATATAGTTTTATTAGCTGCATTCCATTTCAGGATCACAGTGCATGCCTATCTTTAGCCAAGCCTCATATGAATGTGTTCTTGATCACCAGTAGATGTGAATGAGAAAATGTGAATGGATCTGGTCTGTCACCCCTACTTAGAAAAACATAACTAAAAATATATGTAACAGTAACATTTTATTGGTAGAGGTTGGGAAATTTTTACTGTTTGTGTTTTAATTGATTATTGTCATGCCATTATACACTTAATGGGTGAAGTTGTATTGAGACAATCGTTGCATACTGCACTATATGAAAGAAATTTTTGTCTTCATATCATAGGATTAGTGCTGGAAGGAACCTTGGAGATCACCCAGGGGTGGGGAACCAGTGGCCTTGAGATCACATGTGGCCTTCTAGGTCCTTGGGTGCGGCCTTTTGACTGAGTTTTACAGAACAAATCCTTTTATTAAGGGGATTTGTTCTGTGAAGTTTGGATTCTGTCAAAGAGCCTCACTCAGGACTTAGAGGTTCCCCACCCATTTCTATTCAAACCCCTCATTTTGTAGAGAACCAGAGATGTTAAGAAGCAACTTGCCCCAAGGTCACAGCGGTTAGTAAGTGCCAAAGCAGAAAGTGAACCCAGGTAGTCCTCTGACTCCAAAAGCAATGCTTTTCCTTCACCACATGCAAAGGTATGAGGATAATTATTTTTGAATATTTAACATACATACATAGCATTAAGAAAGGGAGTAGCTAGACTCTAAACTTTGAGTAAGATAAAAAAGTCCAGTTTGTGTGTAAGTACATACATGTCACTTCATTTCATAGCATATTTCATACATTGTATATCTCCTTATAATCTGATAGCTTATATCCAGATTTTAAGGCTTGTATTAAGCAGTCTGTAATGATGAAACTGAAAGTCCAATGGGTGACTGCTGAATATTGTTCATATCAGGGAAAACTGGTAAATTACTTCATACCTCCACAACCTGCCGAAGGAAGCAAAAAGAAGAAACTTAAGATGATGGAGTTTCAATCTAAGGAAAAAGTACAGTACCCCAGTGAGTATTTGTATCTATATTTTTAAATACTTATGTTTCCAGTGTTTGTCATAATTCTTAGAAATCTTCCACTAGAGACAGTTTATTGTTATTGATGATTTTCTTGTGGTTTTCAAGAACACTTTGGTAATTCTTCTGATTTCATATAATCTTAAGGTTGAATTTTATGTTCCTCTTCATCCAATTAATGTTATGGCAAAGTTTACTATATTTGACTTTTTCTAGTTTTTTATTTTGAAAATATTTTTGATCATATTAGAATACTATGTATATTTTGTGTTTAAGTGTAAGCTAATGTTGTGGTAACTAGTATTAAAAACATTTTTAGTTTTTCATATGGAGAGTCTTCATATGATCACTTCATATCAGACTTCAAGATCACTAGTTTAGCATGAATAGCATTTATGTTGATAAAATTTAGCATGGTGGTTCCATATTATTGACAGCTTAGTTTTCTTTACAAGTTCTGTATTTTTTTAAGTGTTTTATTATATAACCAACCATGAACAAAACATCCAAATAAATAAAATGTTTAATCATAGATAAAACTAATAAACTTCAAACTATTTACAGGTTACTAAAATGAATAAAGGCAATTAACTTTAACAAAATAAAAACATTGGTATCTTATTTACTTCTATGTCCCTTCCTGTCTTTTTTCTCCTATATTCTTATCAAAGTTAAATTTTTAAAATAGAAGTTGTAGTCATAGTTATATGTTGTTCTGCTTTTCTGTCTTTGCTGTTTCAGTTCATGTATAAGTCTTGTCAAGTTTCTTCATGTTCTTCCTATTTGTCATTTTTGATAACCAAAATTTATTGAGTCATTTGATTATCATAATTCATTACATTAATGTACCAAAATTTCTTCAGTCATTTCCTAATCATTAAGTATATAAGTCAATTCCATCTTTCACAGTTACAGATAAAGCTGCTATATTATTTTTTTGTGGGGGAGGGGAGCTAGGTAATGGGTTTAAGTGATTTGCCCAGGGTCACACAGCTAGTAAGTGTCAGGTATCTGAGGCCACATTGGAACTCAGGTCCTCCTTATTTCAGGGCCGGTGCTCTATCTACTGTACCACCTAGCTCCCCCAGACAAAGCTGCTTTAAATAATTTTATATACTTGTCTGTGAGCATTTCTGCAGTAAACCCTTATTTCCCATGTTGACCTGCTTCCCTAAGAATTTTTTTCATTTATTTTACTTGAATCATTGTGTTCTTATATATGTAGGTTTGCGTGTGATGATACTAGCAGCTGTGAAAGAAATGAATGTGAAGAAGGGAGCTTCCATCATTGCCATCTTCAAGTATGTCAGCACCATATACAGGTATGATGTACAGAGGAATCGGCGGCTTCTGAAGAAAAATTTGGAAAAATTAATTGCAGAACAGGTTGTGGAACAAGTCAAAGGTCATGGCTTGGCTGGATCTTTTAAACTGGGAAAGAATTACAAAGAACAGAAGACATGTGACAGAACTAAAAAACAGGTAAAATAATGAATTTCATTATTTTTAGAGGAAATGGGCCCATTAACATCTTTTTTGTTTCCACCAATAAGCATTTAAGTGCCTATTCTGTGCTCATTGTTTTAGAAAGATATAGCATCTGCCTTTAGGAGCTTTTGTTTTGAAAGTGAAGATTTAGCTTATAAAATACCTATGTATGCTTTTCAATTCTAATTCAGATTTCCTGCTTTTTAGTTAAGTGATTTATGAATGTTTAATGAAATGGCCAGGCAGACCAGTGTTTAAAATAACTAAATTCCTTGTTTTCATTGGGCCACATGTATCAATTTGCTTTTAGGAAAAATCATCATTTCTGAAGTATTTGCAAATTGAAATGAATAATTATAAATAACAGCATATAAATATTTGCAGGTCCTAGTGCAGTCATTGTATTTAAAATGAAAGAATCTCATCCTTTAAGAACTAGCAAAGCAAGAAGTTTTGGTTCATAGAGTAGTGGTTCTCAAATATTTTATTTGAGACAGGGCAAGAGACCTTGTAGACAGTCTATCCTTATTGTTCTTGCTTTCTGAATGAAAATTCTCTTCAGATCAGTGCATTATGAGCCATTGCACTCTCTGCCATGAATTTTGGGGCTTCAGAAGTAAACAAAGTAGAGGGGAAAGACAGAGTAACTTTCTTTGTCAAGTAAGCAGGTAAAAGGATTTTGCCTGTTGCTTTAAACTGCAACTGAAGTATTTCCATCAATAAAGTTGCAAAGAGTTAAGAGTTTCTCTTATCTTCCATTCCTTCCTTCCTTTCTTCCTGCCCTTTCTCCCTCTTTTCCCTCTTCTTTCTTTCCCTTCCTTCCTTCCTTTTTTCTTTCTTTCCTTCTCCTTCCACCTGACTTAGATAACAATATATCCTTACTTATTTTGGAAGACCTGAAGATCATTTGAGGATGTTTATGTGGCACAAAATAAAAACCATTCTCGAATGATATTACTCAAGTAAGAGTAACAAATTGTAATTTGACCTACTTAATTAAAAAAATGACCACTTGTGTTTTTCTGCTTTATTTCTATTTCTTCTAGATTTAGAGTGCCATTAAAAAAAACTTTCTCTTTATTAATTTTGCAATAGGCAACAAAGAGTCCTAGAAAGAGTCAGAATAAACTTTCTGATGAAGAAAAACATCAATCAGAGAGCAATGACACAGTTTCTGAAAATAAGGGAGAAAAATCCCTATCATTAGACATCGCTGAGGATGAGCATAATTATTGTGAGGTCAATAGATACCATGGCAGACTGAGGAAAAAACTTGACCAAGACTCGAATGAAAAACTTCAGTCTGAAGCTGAAGTGTTAAATGCTGCTGATTTGCAAAGACACTGCCTGTCGTCCAGTGATCACCCAAGTACTCCTGCTACTGTCTCTAAAAGTACACCAAATTCTGAAGAAGACAACATGAAGGACCAGGTATCTGATTCTCAAGACCATGCTGGTTGTGAAAAACTACATGCTAATTCTATAAGTCCCTTCAATACTTCTGAGTATCGCTTTGAGTGTATTTGTGGTGAACTTGGCCTGGTAGACTGTAAAGCCCGTGTTCAGTGTCTGAAATGCCACCTGTGGCAACATGCAGAATGTGTGAACTACAAAGAAGAAAACTTGAAAATTAAGCCTTTTTACTGCCCCCATTGCCTAGTTGCAATGAAACCAGTTTCCACAGGAGCAACTTTGATCATCTCTCCAAGCTCTATCTGTCACCAGTGGGTGGATGAAATCAACAGACATGTGAGATCATCTTCTCTTCAGGTCTTGGTAAGATAGTTGTCTTTTGAAAAGACAGAAAATATGATTTTTTTTCAGGTTTCCCTGAAATATTTATAAGTAGATAATTGTAGAGGAATCTTGAAGCAGAAATTTTAAGGCAAGTATAATAAATTCAGAAACAGGACTTAGGGTTTTATATTATTCTTTTTGAACAGTGGATGTTCAAAAAAGTAAAGCAGTTGAGTGAGCTGTAAAAAGGCAAAAAATATAGATGAATAAATATTTATATATGCATTCAAGAATTCAGAAAGGATCTGGCATGACATCTCTAGGAAACTTTAGTATTAATGTAATAAACTAAATGGAAAATCCTAGGTGCAATGTGGGATAATTCATATTTAGCCAAAAATGGAAATACAGCATGATTAGGCATAGAATATTGTGTTTCTTTTGAATATTGGTAAAAAGAAAAAAGTTGTGTGTTTTAGGAAATAAAGATATATACATGTGCTATGATAGCTGTCAACAAGCATTTATTTTGAAAGATATTTTAAATAAACAAGGAAATCTAAAAATCAAACCTCTTTTATTTAATCTACTGTGAAATGTAGAATCTGCGACAGTAAGTATGGGGACAAAAATGTAACACCCAAAGCCAGAATTTAAGGAATATATTCCCAATTAGTTAATTGATTGTAATTGAGAAGTAACTAAAACTATAACTTTTTTAGTTTTCCAACCTAAAAACCACTACAAAACTGAAAAGTGAATAGTCTTTACCTCTTAGTGCTATGACTTATTAATATTTCAATATGCTGGTGGACTTGGAGGTAAAGGGAACCTGGGTTCCACTCATGCCTCTGACTTTTGCTAGTTATGTGACAATTGCTAGCAACTGACTTAATGTTTCTGAACCTTATATTCTTTATCTGTATAATGGGGATCACATCTAAGTCTTTACTTCACAGAATTGTTGTGAGGATTAAACAAAGTAATACATGTAAAGTATATAAAAAACTTTTTAAATGTCATATAAATACCAGCTATTATTATTTTAGATATTTTATATTTAATAAAGTAATTGTCCATGGATTCTAAACACTGAGATAATAAATACACATTTAGTTTGGCTTTGTATGGTCGTGTAAAGTACCCGTTAAACAATGGCTTTTACTTTTTCTATTTCCCTCCCTTCTAATTCCTCCACTCTCTTCTTGAATTAGTTGATGAAAGCTCTAAGAACTTGTTAACTTAAGGTCATATAGTTGTCAGTAGGATGTTTTGAATTATTGTCTCTGTTTTGTATAGTTTTTTCTGGTTTTTCTCATTGTTAGCTACCACTTCTTGCTGTCAGCATGTTTTTTCAGTTGTTTTCAGTCATGTCCGACTATTTGTGACCTCTTTTGGGGTTTTCTGGGCAAAAATACTGGAGTGGTTTGCCATTTCCTTCTCCAGCCCATTTGACAGATGAAGAAACTGAAATAAACAGAGTTAAGTCATTTGCCCAGGGTCACACAGCTAGTAAGTGTTTGAGACCAGATTTGAACTCAGAAAGGTGAATCTTCCTGACTCCAGGCCTGGTGCTCTATCCACTGAGCCACCTACCAGCCCTGTATTTGTGATAGCAATCTTTTTTACTCCTAATTTATTGCTTATGCTCTGTTCTGGGCTTAGAAAGTTTATTAGAGTTGGGTATAGAATATAAAAAAGTAAGTCTTAAATAAATAAAATCTATTTTACTTCTTAGAGTTTTTTTTTACTTCCTGTTTTGCATCTGTGTTCTAGGTAAATGAGATTCCATGATAGTTCACTTCCACAAAGAATTACTTGTTTTTGTTTATACTTCTTTTTTAGAAGCTCACGATAAAAGATAACTCTGTTAGGGTATGTGCCATACACCTCATGTCTCAGTTTTTCCTACCTTATTCCCCAGAGTACTGATTATTTCCTTTGAGATTGCTCATATAATTGAAATATGTGTCATTATTGTCAGGTTAATAATTTTTCCCACAGAAGATTTCTAACCACATAGTTGTTTCTTTAAAATCTAATGAATCACAAAGAATGTTGAAGGTTACTATAATGACTTTTTAAATTAATTACATTTTTTGATAAACATTTATCGATTAGATTAAGTAAAACCAACTTACCTACTAGGCCATAGGCATGCTAGTTAGATGTATAAAGATACAGATAAAATAGACAGATGAAATTTTCATCAGCTTATTAGAATAACTACAAATATAAATATAAATAAATTACTACCTAAGGCCTTTGCTTTTCAAAGCTTTTTGATTTGAGCTCTTAGCAAAAAACTAAGGAATGATATCAAGGGTTCAGTTTAAAATACCATATTTAATACATCAAGTTATGCCACAGTGTAGGAAGGCACACTGAATTCCAGATATTTCATTGTTAGAGATATTGTTAAGGAGCAGCCGTAATGTAGCTAGAGTACTGGGCTTCAGAAACGCATATGTGAGTCTAACCCTCATTTGTATCAGCTCTTGAAAATGGCTGAAATTACACCAATTCTGATTTTCATCATTTGTAAAATGAGAATCATAATGCTTGTACCTATATGTAATAAAATGTAAAACAAGCTATTATTAATGTAGACACTTACTAGTTTTATTCACAAATACAAGGTAAAAATTGCCTTTTAATATATAGCTCATGAATGCTTGTTTAGATGGACCTGTGACCTCATCAAAATTATTATATTGTATCAGTGCAGACCTCATGGTTTCTCATCATTTCTGCCAGGACTTCCTGTCCTGTTCAGTTCTCATCCTTGCTGTTAAGCAAATCTTCTAGGATCCATCCAATTCACTTGAAGACCTTCCTTTGTTACTGTTGTTGTGGTTTTTAAATATCTCGAGGAAACCATATTAACATTTAGCTTCTTCATTTCTTAACTTTTCTCAAAACCAGCCTACCTCCTTTGCCAGTCTTAAGTTTTTAATGGCCTCTTTTCTCTTACTTCTGGAGTGTCAGGTACTTTATTAATAGCTACCATGTGTCTTTTCATTGTCCTCTGGATCACTTGCAATTTTGATTTTTCTGAGATTAAAAACCATCCATGAGAAGAAAGAGGTACCTTTCTTAGAGAGCCTATTCAATGCAAACTATTCACGTAGCTTCCTAGAAACTTGGAACTGGAAGATACCTCAACAGCTATTAAGTTTAATCCATTCCTAAACTAGAGTCCTCTGCAGCAAACTTGACATCTACCTTCTACCTGAAGACATTCAGTGAAGGCAACTCACTACCTCCCAAGCAGCCTATTCTAGTTTTAGATGGCTTTAATTTGTTAGGAAGATTTTTCATTATATCAAGCCGCAATTCACCACTTTATCACTTTGTTCCATCATTCCTAATTCTGCCCTACATGGCCAAGCATAAAGCCACTCAATCTTCCACATAATGGTCCTCTTCCACATAACCCCCTCTCTCCCTCTTAATCTTATCCCAACTAAACATCCCCAGTTTCTTCAATTTATCCTTCAATAGAATGTAAGATTTTTGAGAACAGGAACTGTTTCATTTTTGGTTTTGTATCCCTAGTGCTTGGCATATACTGAGCATTTAACAAATACTTTGTTGATTGACTGACTAAATGAATTTGTGGCTCTTCTCCATTATGACTGGCCCCAGATAGCCTTCAGCTTGTCACTGCCTTTCCTAAAGTGTGGCTCCAAGAACTGGCCAGAGTAGTTAAGATATATTCTTAACCAGCACAGAGTTCAGTAGAACTGTTACTTCCCTAATCTCAGAAGTTGTACCTCTCTTAATTGAAGCCGAATATTAAATCAGCTTTTGTGGCATCCAAGAAAGCACTTGTAAACTGTAAAATGCTTTTTCAACTCTAGGTTGCAAAAGCATATTATTGCTGCTCTCCCTTTCAGATGGGCATTTTAAAAGACTTTTTAAGTGATGGCAGGGCAATGTTGGCATGATGGAGTCATTGAATAAAAAGGTTAAGACCAGCTGGATAACATACCTTTTAGATTGTACCCATTTTCTTGGTGCCAGCTTTTGAGAAAATGTGGAGAAATCAGGGAGAACCCAAAAGAAATGAAAATAATTAAAGGGCAATAGGAAATTCTAATCACAAAGCTAAAAGGTTTATTCAGTTTGAAGATAGGAATGTGGATTGTAATAATAAGGATTAAGTTATATGAAGGGTGATGAAAAATAAGATGAAGATATCCATATATCTGAAAGAAGAGCCAGAAGAAATAAGAAGTCTCACTTTTCCTTGGAGTCTTTAATGAATCATCTTTATTTATTGTGGTTGGCTTTGGAGCAGTTCTTGTGTAGGAGAAATTGAACTCTCTAGCATTAATATTACTACTGCTACCTGTCTGAGCAAGGGCAGATCACATAATCTCTGGGTATTTCTGTTTCCTCATGAAGAAAATGAGAGAGTTATACTTAGTGATTCCAGGGGCCTTACCAGCCCTAGAGCTATCTTTTGATCCTTATAATACTACTATGAGGTATAATGGCATAATTGGAACTCAAATCCAACACTTAGAGTTGAGTACTCTTTCTATTTTACTCTCAATGCTCGTGTCTCTTCCTACATTTTGATACAGTATATAATCTCAAGATAGGTATGATGAACCAAGAGAATGTGTGACTCTTACTGATAACATTTATTAACTGAAAGCTTAAAGATATTCCATTTCTTATCTATGAGTCTTTCTAAATCTGTGTCTTTGCTAATTATTATCTAGGTGTATCAAGGAGTGAAGAAACATGGCTTCTTACAGCCTCATATGTTGGCAGAGCAGGATGTAGTTATCACCACCTATGACGTCCTTCGGTCAGAATTGAATTATGTAGATATCCCCCACAGCAACAGTGAGGATGGGCGTCGCTTCCGGAATCAGAAGCGCTATATGGCCATACCGAGTCCCCTGGTGGCAGTGGAGTGGTGGAGGATCTGTCTAGATGAAGCTCAGATGGTTGAGTGTACCACAGCAAAGGTGAGAAATAGTCATGGAAAAGCTTTAGGTATGAACAAGGGTTGGGGAGGAGAATTCCTTATTATCTCTCTGACTAGTATTTAATTTCCTAGAAAATGAAATTCCTTCTCAAAATTTAGCATGCACCAACCCAGAATGTTGTCTCATTAGTCAGAAGTTTGCAGATACACATTTTATATTTGTTTGTATCTTAGGCTATGTGAATGTACATGACTGAAAGGCATTTTTTTAAATCAATTTTTACTTTCCGGTTCAAAGACTTGAATCATTTTGTATACTGTGTCCAGTAGATTGGAGTAAAATACAGTTCAGAGTGGGAAAAAATGACAAGAAAGAGAGGGAGAAAGAAAGAAAGGCATAGATATAAATATTTATATGATTACCTCAGGCTGTTTATTTAACTTCCGAGAATTTTGGTACTATAGCATAACCTGAACTGAATTCATGATTGTGAAGCTACTAGGTGATTATGCATTGAAAAAAATATGCGTATTTATGTATAGTTTCAGTTAAATGTAACAGCAATGTACATCTAATTTGGAGTATAGGCATTCATGGTTTTTTTCCTCAGTCATTTGCTTTTGACTCTTGCTTTTTTCACATAATTCTTGTTCCCTTTCATTAGGCTGCTGAAATGGCTCTGCGCTTGAGTGGAATCAATCGCTGGTGTGTCAGTGGCACTCCAGTACAGAGAGGATTAGAAGGTGAAGTAGAATTTGCTTATGTGTTGTGTTTTCTTCTTTTTGTATTTGTGTGCATATTAGTTTGAGAAGATTTAACTTTTTTGTGGAAGATTTTAATTATATATTACAAAAGTATTCTCATATTTTCACTTAAAGTAATGAAGCTAAACCCTATTCAAATGGTTGGCTCTTTTTCAACTTATTACTCATACATGAATATAAAGGTTTTTTAAAAGTAAGCTCAAGCATGAATTTTCCTTTTGAAGATGAGATCTTTGATTATGAGACAACAAATCTATATTCATGAAGTTCTATAAACAGTAACTGTGATACACCATTTAATAATGCAGTATTACATAAATCTTCATTACCCAAAGCTGGTTCTCATCATGCTATTGGAGCATAATTGGAACTTAAGTGTTCCAAAGTCTTTTGGTTGTAGACAAATACTTAGAAGTGAACCTGTTAAAAAAAAAAAAAGTAAAATCGTGTGTGTGTGTGTGTGTGTGTGTGTGTGTGTGTGTGTGTGTGTGTGTGTGTGTGTGTACCTACATATGTATGTGCGGACACATATATGTAGTCATAAAAATTTAAATACTATAAACAAAATGATTTTGTTGTTTCAGCATTAAAAGAATCCTCATTTTGTGAAAATAAATTGTAGCTGCAAAGCACTACTTTGATTAAAAATATTTTATTACCTAACACATGTAAAAATTCAAAAAATAACTTTGGAATATATTCACAGTTGAGTAATGATTTACTCTAGGAAGTAGTAAAGAATGGTAACTTTATTTTACTCACTCCTTGAAGGTGGTAGAATAGGCATAGGAACTTGAATAGGGGCTGGCCCTGTGATTATATTGGTATAGGTAACTTACAGATGAGGAACCACCCTACTAACTATGTAGGTCAGCACCTCCTCTGTAATTTACAGTCTTGGAGAATCACTTAGAGCACTCAGAGGTAAGTGAGTGGCCCAAGGTCACAGAGCCAGTATGTTGCAGATGGAAGACGTGATCCAGATTTACCCAGCTCTGAGGCCAGGTCTTTATTACTTCATGCTGCTTGAGACAGCATGTAGTGAAAAAGCATGTATGTAAAAAGGAGTTTTGTGGAGTATCTTTTGCTTCCTCCCAAGGTTAAGTACAGTTAAAGCAGCTTGAATATCCACTTGTATTTGAGCCTTTCTACCTAGCAAATCAAATTTTCTGAGTATTAGTTTTTTCAAAGTTGGAAGGGTCTTCAGAGGCTTTTAAGGTTTCCTACTTAATATAGGAATTCCCCTTTCTGACTTCCTTGAGCGGTTATCAACCATCTTCTGTTTAAGTACTTCCAGTGTTGAGGAATAAACTGTTTTACTAGGCTGCCCATTCTTTTTGTGAATGGCTTAGATTGTTAGGAAATTCTTCCTTTATTATATTGACCAACAGTATATTTCCTTGTAATCTCCTTATCCCTATAACATCTACTATTTGTTATTAATTCTGCTCCTCTTTCCAAGATATAAAGGGTAATCCTAATCCCTTTTCTACATGATAATCCTTTCGATACTGAAAGCTGACCAGTATATTTCTATCTCTTATCCCTAAATTAAGTGTCACTAAATTCCTCTATTTTTGTATGGTTGAATTCAAGACCCTCATTAATTCTTATTTAGGAAGGAAGAAAATAGGCATTTAAGCATTTACTATGTGCAAAATATGTGCTTAATGTTGGGGATATTAATATAAGCTAAAAGGAAGTACCTAAATTCCTCAGCAGGCAAAGTATCTGGCTTTGGAGGCATGGTTTTGAAGTTTGGGAGCCAGGGGCAGGGCCCAGAATGATGGCAGGGAAATTACAGCTAGCCGGGGCCCCTCCACAAAATGAAGTGGATCTACTCAGAAGGAGTGGACCTTTCAGAGATATGTTCCATATTGAGAAGACCAAAGACATGGTTGCATGTTCTGGAGCACCAAGGGGCCCCAGGCAGTGAGGGAAGTTCTAGGATAAAACAGCACGGTTTGGAAGTCTAGGAGCCAGGAACGGGGTTGGGAGGATTATGATGTTGAAAGTAACAAGCAAGTATATCTTCAAATCCCATAAATATTTATTAGGGTCACATAACTAGTAAGTGTATAAGGCCAGCTTTGAACTCTGGTCTTTCTGACTTCAGGCCCAGCTCTTTATCTATCACACCACCTAGCCGCAAGAAGATGACAGAGGATGCATATCGCAATGCCATAAAAGTATCTGGAGTGCTCAAGCTCAGCAGGAGCTGAGGCTGGTGCTAAGGACAAGCAAAAGATGTTTTTGGTTTTGTTGTATTCATATAGGGGAAAAGAAGAGACTTCAGGAAGGGTTAAGACTACTTACTATGGAGGGTAGATGGGACAGTTATAAGGACAGAAGAGAGAGTGCAGCTGTTCGAGGTTATTATTTAGCATCACATGATCCTGTAAGAATATTTTCAGAAGTTTTAAAGTTCATCTGACTTTACCCACCTTCCTGACTTTTCATCAGCTGATGATTTGATAAGCATGCCTTTTATGTCTTCATCTGAGTTAGTGATTTAAAAATACCTCTGTGGACATAAAATATATAGGGCAAGAGTCCTTTTAACAAACAGCTAACTTTCATATAATTTCATATATTCAAAAAGTACCTACTGGATGAAGAGCTTTCTGCTAGGCACCAAAGAAGAAATAAATATCCCTGATCCATGCCCTTGTTGAGTTTACAGTCAAGGATGGTGATAGGCAAACAGAAAGAATGTAATAGACTATTATGTTTAAGTGCTTTAGATAACTGCAGAACAAATTACTATCTGACATCCTATATGATTGTTTTGGAATGGTTACATGAATAGGTTGTCATTTTAATTAAACTTTAAAAGATGGGTAGGATTATTCAACAGCCTAAAAGAGGGAAATAAAGGGTATTGTGATGAGCATAGAGAGCAGTGGGAACAAAGGCATGGAAGTGGAACAACAGCTGGGGTGGAGGGGAGGGAGTTAAGGAAAAGAGTAGTCCTGTTTGTTTGGAGGAGAGTAATACAAGATATGAGGCTAGAAAGTTTGTAATTACAGATTGCTGGGGCTGGCATAGATCAGTTAGTCAACCTTCCTTGGGTTCTTTGTTCACATGTGCTGCCTATCTGGTTGTTATTCACCCCAAATTTATTTATATTACAGATTAGGAGATTAAAAGGTATAATGTCAGATGCCCAACTGAAATCAAGGTATTTTCCATCTATAACATTCTTCTGATCAGCTATTCTAGTGACATTATCAAAATAGGAAATGAGATTTGTTTGACACGGTTATTTATAATGAACCCAAAGTGATGCCTTTTTGTGTAACCACTTGCCTGTGTAAGTGTTCACAAAGTATCTGTTTAATCTTTGAGAAGCAAAGCATCTGAGCATGCTCATGATGACCACCTGTTTAACACAATCACAGGCAGTTTATAAAGTGTGTCGTGTGGGAGAGAGAACCTCTTCACCTAACATATTAGTTCTAAATGCATTGTGAGATGATAGGAAATTGAGGAAATTTTGGCTCTTGAGACTTCTGAGATGTGAAATTAATTCTGAAATATGTGACTGCAAACATAGTAGGGATTCATTTGTTTATTTAATACAAATTAAGCATATTATCATGTGCAACATATTCTACTAGCCACTGGAGGAGATACAAAGATAAAGATGATGTAGTTTTTGTCCTAAAGGAGCTTGATAAGATATCTGTGCAAAAGTATACTATACATTTGAAAATGGTTAAGTACATAAGAGGTGAGGGCATGGCATGGTGGATAGAGAGCTGGCTTTAGAGCCAGGAAAACCTGGGTTCAGGTACCATCTAGCATGTATTTTCTGGGTGACACAAATCAAGTCCCTTGGCATCTCAGTGCTCTGGAACTGAATCATCTGGGAATGCCTTATATCAGTTGTTAGAGTTAGACGGACTTACGTTTCCACAGGTAGAATAATGCAGAGATTTAAAGAACAGCAGCTCTAGTAAGTAGTACACTGTCGGTAAGCTGGGGCTTAGCCAATAAAAAGTAAGTTGATGGTTCCAAAAGACCCCAAAATCAGGATAAGGGTCGAGCCAGCTCAGACCAGTTGTGGTCAACCTGAGGACACCTGAAAAATGTTAGTGCGCCTGCTTAATGAACTTCATTACTATTATCTGACATACCCCGCATAAAATTAGAGCCTTTTTAACAAGTCATGGGACGTAGGACCAAGGGAGGGGGAACATACTTGAGCATATCAAGGGGAAACATGTAAGGAAAGGTGTAACCTGGGAGGGGATGGACCAATCCAGGCCTGGGAGGTTTCGCCTGAATTCAACTGCATAAAAGCACACTTGCCCTTGCACTCAGGGCCCACCCCTCCTTAAGAGGGGTGGAGCCCACTTCCGGCCAGAAATGTCTAAATCCTCTGCATTTTCTTTGTGATAAATTTTCTTGATACCAAATTTTTGGTGTCAAGCCTATTTCTGACATCAGTGAAATCACAGATCCGACACTGTCCCTATTCATCTACTAAGCATATAAGAGAAATTTTTAAAAAGCGAGGGCTATAATTTGAGATGGGAGTGAGATTATCTGAGGCCAGAGGACATAGTGAATAGTCCAGTTTGTCTGCAGTATAGTGGATTTAAGGAAGAGAAGTGTGAGGCAAGGCTGCAAACATGGGTTGTAGTCAGATTTGAATGCCAGGCTAAGGCATCCCTACTTTGTTCTGTAGGTAAAAGAGAATGAGTTTTTGAATTGTAGATGGAAACGAGAATAATTTGTGTATCAACAAGATTAATTTGGCAGTAGTATGTAGCATCAACAGGAGAGAAAAGAGATTAGGAGCAGAGAAGCTACTGCAGTAACTCAGGTAAAAGGTAATAGGATCCAAGGTGGTAGTGTAGAGGAGGTGGATGCAGGCCCACTATGTTGTGAAGATGAAATCCATAGGATCTGTTTACTATTTGAATATGCTTTACAAATTGAGTGTGTGGAACGAGAGAGAAGGAGGTGTCAGATAATTCTAAGATTGGGAATAGTTGGTTCCAGTGAAAAATAGGAGAAATCAAAAAAAAACGAAAATAGATTTTGGTGAAGTGTTGATAAATTAAGTTTAAGCTATATTGGCTTGAAGTGCCTGTGGAACATACAATGGGAAATTAAAGGCAGTAATTAAGAGATTAAGAGGTTACTACAAGAAGCAAAGTGTGGAAGAAAGATCAGTGAATTTGGAACCCTCTGTTCTAATTTCCGGCTCTGTCACTAATTAGTTTGACCATTAACCAAGTTGTTTTTTCTTTCGATGTCTGTTTCCTCTTTGGCCAGAAATGGTTTACAATTTCTAATCTTGTTAAATGTAAGGAGAGAGGAATTATACTCTATGGGATCAGAAATCACAAGTTAGAAGGAATATTAGATGTGGAAAAAGCCCTTTAAATAAAATTTAAAGTGTTTAAAAATAGCTGGTAATGTTATGAATAGTGTTTGTAGTAAACTATTTTTCTGGAACATATTTCTGGGCAGAAAGTATGTTTTTACATTAGAAAGAGCATTGTGTATGTAGTCAGGATACCTGGCTTTGTATCCTTGCTTGAACATCAAGTATATGTAACTTTGGGCAAATAATTTAACTTCTCTGGGCCTTTAGTTCTTCGTCTCAGTCAGTCTGTAAGCCTGATTTAAGCACTTTTAGAGCACCAGACAGACACTTAAGTGCTGGAGATTTTTTTTTAAAAAAGGTAAAAATTTGGCTGTAATACTCAAGGGACTCACATTCTAATGAGGAAGACAACATAAAAATAACTATGTATATATCAGATAATACACAGTGTAAACAGAAAGTAATCTTAGGAGGAAGGAACTAGCAGCCAGGGGACTGATAAAAACTTATTGTCAAAGGTGGGGTTTGAACTGATTCTTTAAAGAAGCCAGAAAAACTAGGATGTAGGTGTGAAGGGAGGGAGCATTCTAGGTATGCAGAACAGCCACCACAAATGCATGGAGTCAGAAGATGGAATGTCATGTGAGAGGAACATTAAGCAGCCCATTGTAGCTGAATTACAGCTTTTGTAGATGGTCTATATAATTTACTGAGTAAGGTGGTGGTGGTTTTTTTTTCTTGAGGGGGTGGGGTGACATGGTCAGCACTACAATTTAGGAAAATCATTTTGGCAGGTGAGTAGAAAGTGAATTGGAATGAAGATTTCAAGCCTGGTTATTTAGGAGGATGGTTGTTGTTTGCCCTTAGTTCTTGAAGAGGACTGTGACATCAAGAAGATGATGCTGTGATTTGCAAGTAAATTGAATTTAAGTGAGGAAGCCCTGTGCAAAATCATCAGCTTCACTCTCTCCTCTGGAATCATCTGGGTCCAATGGCAAGATAGAGATCGGGATGACTGGAGATAGCCCCAGATGCTGTGGGAGACCTTGGCCTTTTTAAGTTAAGGTCTTTCCCAGATCTTAGTTTCACTGAGGCAATACCCATTCATTGACTAAGGCTAGGTAAGAAATAAGGCAAAGAATGACCTCTTTTACCTAGTCAAAAAAAAAATCAGTCTGTGAGGGGAAAATCCTCTGGGTTTCTGGCCAAAAGAGAAACAATTACAATTTACTCTCACTCCGAGCCATCAGGGCCCAAACAATCACCAAGTGAAGTTTAGGCTGAGACCTATTGTTGGCCATTCAATGAGAGCCTGAGTGATTTGGGTTTAAGGCATGGTCCTTAAGAAAGAAATCTAGACCGTAAACCCCAAGATATCTTTCGAGGTTTCAGTGATCAGAATTGACATTACTTTGGGGCAGAGTACTTGCAGGTAAGAATATGATACCCTGTATGGACGGAGGGAGGGGAAGAAGAAAGGAAGGAAGGAACAAAGGAACAAGCTGTGTTGCCCAACTGGAGCTAACCTTCTACAGCAATGGTAAAGTTGGGAAGATAAGGAGAGTTTGGGAGGAATAGATAATGAGTTTTGTTTTGGATATGTTGAGTTTGAAATGTCTGCCACATATCCAATTTGAGATACCCAACAAGTAATTGGTGATGGAGGACAGTAGTGTTATTAGGGCTAGATTTATAGATCTGGGAGTCATTTGCACAGAGATAATTGAACCATTGGGAGCTGATGAAATCATGAAGTGAGAATATAGAGGAAAAAGAGGAGAAAGCCCAGGACAGAATCTTGGAGAAGTCTCATATAATCTTATAGTAGGCATGACCTGAAATGAAGATCTAGCAAAGGAGACTGAAAAAGAGCAGTCAGACAGGAAGAAGGAGAACCAGGAAAAGAAGGGAATCAACAGCATCAAGAAGTTTTGGAGAAGGATGAGGATTGAGAAAAGGCCATTATATTTGTCAATTTTAAATCACTGGTAACTTTGGCAAGAGGAGTTACAGACCAGTGATGAGGTCAGATGCCAGCCAGACTGTAGAAGTTTTAAAAGTGAGTAAGAAGAGAGGAAGTAGAGGTGCCTAGTGTAGATGGCTTTATCAAGGAATTTAGTCAAGAAGGGAAGGAGAGATATAGAATAATATAGGATGATAACTAGGAGGAAGATAGAATCAAAAAATGGGTTTAGACTAGATGACCTTTAAGGAGCTTTCCATCTCCAAGTCAGTGGTCCTTGTATGAAGTGAATAGCTACTATCCATGTAATTTTATTAAAGTAAAATTGTGAATATCAGTTACTATAACTTGAAAATATTGAATGCATTCATAAAGTAGAATGTGAAAACCAATACATGAGGATCAGTTTTAGACAGTTTCACCTTATTGCAAAGAAAAAAAAACACATAATTTATATGGACAACTTGAAGGTATTTATTTAAAGGCCAATACCATGGCTTTTAAAAGCACAAATTTAAGAAACTTTTCACTAATCATAAAATGTCAAAATTGTGAATGTTTGAAATAGCTAGTTTGCCAGGATAATATATAATTTTCTATTTAGAAAAGATCTCTATTGTTTATTAAATTCTTTTTCAAACTTTGTTTTCCGTAATATTGAGTTCAGAAATTTAAAACAGTGTTTGAGTCATAAATCACAATCTTTATATAGGAAAATTATTATGGAAGTTTAATTTTTAGACCTGATTTTTAGTTTTCCTTAATTTCCATGTAATTAGATTTTTAGAAAGCATCTTAAAGATTAATTTCCATGTAATCTTGCTAAATGAATTATTTTAATCTGAGTGTAGAGCCTTTGATCATATAACCATCTTGGCCTTCAGTGTTTTTAAAATCCTCTACAAAGACACCTTCAGGTTAGAGAAGATGGTTGCTTATTCTCTATGATAGTGGTGGTGTCAAACTCAAATTGAAATGGAGCTGCATATTGACTTTGAAAACCACGAATTAACATTATCTCAATTGTTTTATATTTTTATTTATCATATTAAACATTTCCCAATTACATTTTAATCTGGTTGGGCTACACTTAGGGGTTTTATAGCTTGAGACATCTGCCCTAAGGCACATGAGATAAAAACTGAAATGATATGTAGATGGGAAAGTTCATAAAGATTTTAGCTCAGGTTGATTTATGGCAGAAATGGACAGTATCATGATAGACATAGATGTTAAACCATGTGACATTTACCTTCAGTACTCTTTTCATGGGAAATGAGAGCAGAATCTCTATCACTCTCCTCTAGGAAATAAGGAAGCTTGCGGTGGTCTTTTGTTTTGTTTTTTATCTATGTATTTTTAACCATTTTCCCCCTCACACTTTTCCATTCATCATCTGGTAGTAGTATAGAAATGTTTGTTAAAATACAGCCTCTACTAATAAAGTGTGTGTAGTTTTGTCAACCTTTGCTTATGAAATAAAGCAGCAAGGCGATAGATCTTTTGAATTAAGCAGTTAAGGCAATTGATCTTTGTTGAATGCCTGCTATGTTCAAGGCACTGTATTGGGGCAAGTGGGGTACAAAGATACATAAGATCCAAATTCTGCCCTCCAGAATATTACAATCTAGTTAAAGAAACAAATTATAGAAATATGTTGTTAAAAAGCCCAACTTTAATCTCTTGCCTGTTTATTATGACAGCGTCAAAATTTTCAGACATTTGAAAATTAAGAGTTCAGAATCATAGTACGTATTATCTAGTTGCACATGATTACTAAATGGTTTATACAAATGATTATTTCTCCTTGAAGAACACTTGGAATCTACAAGAAAGGCAGAAATGCTCCTTCCCTTCCCCCCACACATTGTGTGCTCTATAGTGTGGCCTACATGAATTCCTGTTGATGTTCACTCAGCTTTAGCTTTTTCTGAGGTTTTTAGGATATCAGTTTTAGAATAACTTATTTCAGGACTCATTCTCTTAATTATCACTCAATTTCTTTGGTATTAATAAGGAAATTAAAATCAGTACCGGCTACCAACCATTCTTTTCATAGTTTTTAGCTTGAATCTTTAAAATGAGAGGCAGAATATTTTCTGTGAACCATCCTTATCCCTCCATTTAGATCTCCTTTTCTGAGCCAGCAGACATTGTGTTATATATATAGTTTTTGTTTGTGTTAATTTCAGACCACTCATTCATTCAACAACTAGAATCTCCTGTGTCTCTAGAAGTGTGCCTCTGACTTTAAGTGTTAGGAGAATTTTAGCCTTCTGGATTAAATAGGTATTGAATTTCTCTTTTTGCTGTGGTCTTAGTATCTTTAGAATAATAAATGGAAATTTTCTAGCATTTCATATATATAACCACGTACCACATTGAACTTGTACTTCTGCAGTGTAAATTCCCTAAGGCCATATCTAATATGCATTTTAATTCCTTGAAAAGTGTTGTGCCCTGTATAACTAATGATGAATAATTTCATTTAAAAAAAAAACTTCCATTCAAAGTAGTACTTCTAAAGAATAACAGAAACATAGAAACAAATTACTTTGTTTTTTCCATTCTTTTTAGATCTCTATGGGTTAGTGCTATTCCTTGGTGTTGATCCATATTGGGTCAAACACTGGTGGGATCAACTTCTGTATCGTCCTTACTGCAGGAAAAATCCTCAACCCCTTTACGACCTTATTGCCAAGATAATGTGGAGGTCTGCAAAGAAGGATGTAATTGACCAAGTTAGTAAAATTTTTTAGTTTTCTTTTAAGGATGTTTAAAACAACAACAACCAGTATCCTTGTAGAGAAAAAATATTCCATAGCATGTCTTGTTCGCTTTTCATCCTCAGATCCAGATTCCCCCCCAGACGGAAGATATTCACTGGCTCCACTTTTCTCCAGTGGAAAGACATTTCTATCACCGTCAGCATGAGGTGTGTTGCCAGGATGCCCTGGCAAAGCTTAGAAAGATATCTGATTGGGCTCTGAAACTTAGCAGCCTGGACAGGAGGACTGTCACGTCTATTCTCTACCCGCTGTTGAGACTCAGACAAGCTTGCTGCCACCCACAGGCTGTTCGAGGAGAATTCTTGCCACTGCAAAAAAGGTTTTACTTATAATTCTTTTATTTCTGTTACTGATAATACTGACTCATTAAAGTGATCACTCTAGGGGGAAAAGTACAAATTAGACTCTTCCTGACCCACCTTTGCCTCCAGCCCTCATACTATTAGGGTGAAGAATGACTGGACTACTCTGTTGCAGATCTGTATATCGAAATCTTTTTTACTTTATCTAAACTACAAATTAGATTTAGATTGTAGTCTTTGCTATCTTGTTGTGTGAGCAAGTTACTCAGCTATCTGTGCCTTAGTTTCCATATCTGTAAAATAGACTGTTGAATGAGAATTTATTTACAAGCACTTTAAAAGTATAAATTGCTACATATGGTATAGGTATTGGGTATTATTATTAATTTTTATATATTTGAACTTCTCAAAGCAACTAATGTTTACAATCAGTCATATCAAATTTGTACAGTTAAACTTAATTACAAGCCATAGTTGATTGTTGCAATTAGTAGTTTTAGGAAAATGATTAATACCCAAAGAAATTTCATCCTTTGCATTTATTTTATTTTCTCTAAATGTACTGCCTTGGTAGCTTTTGTCTTTAATGCCCTTAAATTTTCAACACTTAAAAGCAAGAGGAAAATTGACTGTAAGTCAGATAGACCTCTCTTCATAGCAATCCTTCAGTAGTCAAAATGACTAATAATTTACAGAATGAGATATATAGGTGTCCCAGAAGGCTTAGTACAGCTTTAAGCTGTTAAAGTTTTAACAGTTTAAAATTTTTTAACTTTTAGGACACCTAGTATTTTGATTGAGATTGAATATTTAGCTTCTGTAAATCAGAGGTGTCAAATATATGGTCTGCCAGCAGTATACAGCCCACCACACTCCCAAGCACATCCCAAATCAGAATAAAATGTAACTAGGAAACATTTAACAAAATAACAATACAATAAAACATGGATAATATTAATATGTTGTTTTCTAAGTCAGTATTTAGCCTGTGGTGATCCCTATTTATGATTGTTTCTAATTACATTTGACATCACTCCTGTAAACGATTCATTCTTTTCCTACATTTAAGCCTACTATCCCATAAATGTAGCATTTGATTTAGAATGCAGATCTGTATACACACACACACACACACACACACACATCTACATAGATATACACAGATTTGTATGTACAGATAGCATTGTAAATCAGTAAACTAAGACAAGAAAGATAACTTTTCATGGGTTACAAGGAAAATCAGTGGCATTATTGAAATTCGGTGCCAGTCCCTACTTCTTGGTTATATAGTGCTGAGTACCTGTCTATCATAAAAGGTGTTTGGGAGTTTTGAATACCCCCACTTGTATTTTTACAGAAATTCTTCTGTCTTTGTCTCTTAAGACATTTTCCCCACTGTAACTTCCCATGGTGAGTCATTTTATCCAAATTAACTTTCCCTCTCCTACATCTTCTGTTTCAAAAGAAACCAAGGTTAATAGGATTTGGAGCTGGGATAGACATTATAAATTATCTACTCAGCCCCCATTATTTTGCAGATGATGATGCTGAGACAGAGAGAAGTGAAGTCATTTTCACCAGTGTCCCCTAAGTAATAGATAAGACAGCCAGGATTCTAATACTGGTCCATGGAATCCAGTTGTCTACTCTGTCACACTACCTTCTGTTCAGAGAACTGAGTTTGATCCCAAGTCTAAATGGTTGTTCTTTTTCTATTTTTGTGAGGATTGTCTGTCTGCTTTCTGCTTCTCCCCTCTTCCTACTATTTATGAATTTTCTATTTATGAATTTCATGTCCGTGCCAAGTGTAGGGAACCCTTCATGTTCTCTAGATTTCTATGCTGGTTCTTGTTTGGTGATACTATTGAGCCCTGTGAACTTGCCAAACATTGTGCAAATATTGTCATTTTCATTCTGGAGCATTTAATAGGCTCCATATGGTAGTGGTAGTGGTTCAAGGAACTTGCCCTTTCCTCTTTGGTTTTAAGAAGAAATATTCATCATAAACTAGTTACAAGATTCCTTTAACCCTGGCTGAATATTGCTTCCAAAGAAGTAACTGAATAATCTTAGTTAAATATCCATGTTTGCTGTTGAGCGTACCCAGTGCTACCTTAAATTTTGTTGATTTTGATGAGGAAACATTTCTGATCTATTGTAGCTTGGATATAATAGTGGATTGGAAATAAATTGGTTTCTTTTCTGTACACAAGGGGAAAAAAAGAGCTATTTTGATAGATGCTCCTTTCTGGGCATTGATTGTGATGAATTACTTCCTGTGATAATCCTGTCTACTGCTTTAGTGGGCCATTTCCAGAATAGGCAAGATATTTGGCTCATGGTCTCTGTATACACATGTACAAATGTCAGTTAAAAAAATTTTTTGCCCCAATACCTCTGTGATGAACCAGAGAATCAAAACAGAGTCAACGAAGCTTATAATACATTATTTTCTTTGGTAAAGAAGTTAAATCTTCTATTATTACTCAAGAAAGTTATTAAAGCTTTATTGTAAGAAGTAACCCTAACCTTGAGGTCGTGTGAAGGATACCCTGAGTTCTAGCCATTGAGTCAAAACCTCTGAATTGGTAGGTCTCCTTTCCTCACTTCCCTTCCAGGGTTCATATAGTTTATTTATATTGCTTGCCATGCTACTACCACTGAAGACATACCTGAGTGTATTCTATGTAAGTTTGACCAACCTGCTATTTCTTTCAGTACCATGACCATGGAAGAGTTGCTGACTTCACTGCAAAAGAAATGTCGAACTGAATGTGAAGAAGCACATCGGCAACTGGTTTGTGCTCTTAATGGCCTAGCTGGCATCCATATCATTAAAGGTAGAAGCAGATTGCTTTGTTGTCTCTGATTCCCTTAAAAAAATTGTGAAGGAGATAAAGTGGATGTTGGTACTTTAATAAGTTATAAATAAATATTATAGATGTCTCCTTTTGCAGACTATTCAAAATCAGTAGTAACCTTTTATTACAGCTGGCACTGTCAGGCCTTGTGCTGTTTAGCCTAGGAAATATTGTTAAACCACAAAATAATTAAGGAATTGACCTCTTAATAGTGGTGTAATAATTTTTGTCAAAGAATTACCAGAAGACAACAAATACAGAAATGTCTTCTAATTAGACAGTTTCACCATTTTTACTCACCTTTATAGTAACCTTAGCATGAATTCTGTGTTTCCTTCCCTCTAGTTCACCCATTTATCTTCTTTCGCTATTTTCTGTAGCCTGTTCATGAGATTTAGGTTAGATTTTGAAGCTAATACTGTTTTCCTTTTCTTATTCTCCATCTTCCCACCTCCTCTTAAACAGTATTTGCTTTGGTTCAAATAATTTTATTATTTAAAATATAAAGTTAAATCAAAGGAAAATGTGGTTATTTTAAAAAATGATATGAAATAGTATTTGACTAGACAGCAATCTAAACAATTTTAGACAAGGTAATATGTAAGTAGGATATACACATCAAACATATCCTTTGCCATTCATTTCTTTCAAGCAAAGTTTTTGGTTTATCCTGGAGGACCAGGCATAAGTACAATAAGGATTATGCTGAAAAGTTTACTATTCCTTACTTTCTGTAGGCATACTTAAAATTTTTTTAACTCCAAGGTAGGCTATAGGTATGCCATGTGCAGCAGGCTATGTCTAGCTAGCAGAAAATGTTGAAGATTTATGATTTGAGACTTGAAGTGCTAGAGAAAGAACTCTTGAGGCATAAATTCGTTGGCCTTGTTAAGAAACTGTTTAAGATCTTTTGCAACTATCAGTGACAGTAGCACTTCTCCCTTATTGCAAACTGAGTAGTACAGAATCTTTGAATTGGGAGGAACTTCAGAAACCATCTAAGCCCAGCTACTCACAGAGAAGACCTACCCCACACACATACCTGACTACTAGTCATCTTTTGCTTATCGATCTCTAGGGAGAAGAAACCTACTACCTACCAAGGCAACCCATTCCACCTTCACATAGCTCTCATTATTGTAATCAACATGTGTGGACAATTATTATTATCGCTCTGTACAGGCTCTGAGAAGGGAATGCTTTCCCTCCCTATCTTAAAGTCTCACGCACAACATCAACTCAGATATCTTAGAGAGCACAAAATAGGTTTAGAGAAATCAGAACAAAGTGTCCACCCATTGCTTTGTTAAGTTTATGGAAGAGACCAAGAAGTCATCAAGAGCTCCAGCAGGTGACCACCCTTTACATACAGCAGCTTAATCAGGATTTTATTCTTCAGAATTTGTGGGTGGAAATGTTTTTGTTGTTTAGTCATTTTTAGTTATATTCAACTCTTTGTGACCATATTTTGAGTTTTCTTGGCAGAGATAATGGAGTGGTTTGCCATTTACTTCTCCAGCTCGTTTTACAGCTGAGGAAATTGAGGCAAACAGGATTAAGTGACTTGCCCAGGGTCATACAATTAATAACTGTCTGAGGCCAGATTTGAACTCAAGTCTTCCTGACTCCAGGCTCAGCACTTTTATCCTACTTTGAGTTTATGATCTGAAATGAAAGCAGCACCAAGTGACTGTTTAGTGGAGATGTCATCATAAACATATGAGGAAGTAAAAACTTTTCTAGCAAATTTTAAAAAATAATTTATTCCTTTAAATTAGTTTAGAATTATCTAAAATGAGCACAAGCATCTATTACATTGAATATCATTTTCTGCTAGTCTCAATACAAAAGTGGTATAATTGAGATAGAGGAGAGAACTTGGAAATAATATTTCAGTAGTTCAATACTTCAAAGATCTATAATTCCATTGCTGTGGAGGAACTCCCTCAACTAATGAAGATCACAAACTCTTTATAATTTTATCAGACAGTCTCTGAAAGCTGCTGTAGACAAAAAATTTAACATTTTTCAGCCTTAAAATCTGTTTAAGTTGTCCTCATACAATAGATATATTTCTACGTGCCAAACCTTTCCAGCTGGTAAGGCCTACCAGACCTTGTGATCTTACATAGCCTTTGGGAAACCAGGCTTAGCTTCCTTCCTCATTGAGTAGGAATATAGTAGAAGAATAACATCCACAACGCAGATTTATGTAATATATTCCTCACAATAACTATGAGACAGATAGTGCAAATATTATTATCTCTGTTTTATAGATGAGGAAAATGGGTTCTGAGAAGTTAAGACTTGTCCATGGCCACACAGCTTATAAAGGTTTGAGACTGATTGTAAACCCACATCTCACTGCTAGGCTGTTACTTTTCTCTAACTGCCTGTCCTGGACAGGTATGAGAACAAGTAGAATACAAAATATCCTTGAAATGTTTTTTCCTTCATTAAATATAGTCACAAGTAATACAGTGTTGTGTTATGAAGTGTTTGACAGTAGAAGTCAAAACTCACAGCTCAAAATGTCTAAAGTAGTCATTTCTCCCTTGTAGATTAGCAAAAGGCTAAGAAATTTATACTTCCTGGGCATGCTTTCCTTCCTTCTTCTGTTTTCCTTTTTACCCCATTGAGAAAGTAAAAAAATAAGCCTATAATTGGAAGAAAAAGTAGATCGTCTGATCTTATTCTAAAATGCTTGGCAGATGGCAAGATCAGCATGCTTCGTAACTCCTGCTTGGCCGATAACATGCTTTCAGCATCTTCTGTTCCAATTATTTTTCTTTATTCTCTTTTTATGGTTTATTTCCTTTTTGTGGGTTAGAATCATAGTCAGCTATTGTTAAATATCAAAAGAAAACCACCCCAGAATGCTTCTCAGTTAAAGATATCTTTTCTAAATTACGTTTGTTTGAAAATGAAATGGTAAATGAAATAAGCTTAATAGGGATTTAGTGCTACATATCTAATAGAGTTAATTTACTGGAAAAGTACATAGAATCACATGCCTTTTATAAAGAAACTTGAAGGTTTTTTTCTCTTGTAACTAATTTTAGGGAACTCTAAAATGAATTTTAACCTTTATATTAGTCTGTTTATATGAAATGTGAATGTATGTACACAAATATAATACATATATGTATTGATACCTTCATTAAATTATGTTCAGCTTTTGAAAGCATGATTTTTACAGATATTAATAGAAAGAATGAACTCTGCAGTGTCAAGTAGAGTGAGTATTTGGACATTTTAGTGCCACCAAATGGCCAGGAATAGGCAGTATTCTTAACTGGAATGTTTTTATGCATTTATATTTTCTTGCAGAAATAAAGCATGTTAGACTGCATGTTATAATGAAAAAATCAAGTTCCACTCCTTTTTAATTCTGGTACAATCACTGTGCTACCTTTAAGAAAATAAACAAGTGTGTGAGTTTGTTGGAAATAACTTAAGGTAGTCTATCATTTTTACTTGGAAATGCTGCTTAACTAAAGACTCTCTGTCTCCAGAAAAGGATGGTATAAATGCTTGTAGAATCCAGGTGCCCTTTGAAGAACCCTCATCAGAAATCTGTAAAAATTTCGACAAGAGTAACTAATTATGTAACTCCATCTTAAAGTAACATAATTATTTGGGTGTTTATGCTTAAATTATCAAAGGCTATCCATGTTTGTTTGTTTTAATTATTAGGCTGATGATCTACATCCCCAGATTGAATAAGAACTGGATGACTAACATGTTTTGAAATTGTATTCTGTTATGTGGGGGAAAGTCCTGAATAAAGTAACTGCTGGAACTAGATTTTTTTTAAAAATAAAAACAAGATGAAAACTGTGTTTAGAAAATATTTAAAAGAACATTTTAAAAAACCTCCCCAACTATTTATATTAATAAAACTTTTAGACCTCAGTGAATTATGAATATTTAAAGTGCTGCAGTTTTGTAAAAATCATGCGATGATATTAGCAAAACAGATGCTGTTTCAGCTGTGTCTTCAGCTTTGTTTTTTGAACTTGCTTCCAAAAGCAAAAAACAAATGAGATTTCTCACTCAGATCACCAGATTAGCCTCAGCTTACCTAGAAATGATATGTTGACATCCATTTAGGATTAAACAGCTGTTCATATTGAGTGATAGAAAAAAATCATCTTTTACTATTTGTGAGTTCTGTTGGCAGAAATGATAAAGTCTTAAGTTACTAAGCTATAGTTAATGATAAAGTATGTTGGCATTTAAAATAATATTTAAACAGGAATTATTTTTCTTCTACATTTGTGTGCTTTGGTAAGAGAATATTGTAAAAATTTGCTAAAATGTCTGACATGTAATTAAATCAAGTTAAAATTGACTTAATGGAGCCTACCATTAATTTCAAGTGCATCACAAGCTCCCCTTCCCTCATCATTTTAGCTTTTAATAATAGTGACATTTGTTAAAATTAATTGCAGGTTAACATTGTATTTTTTTATTTTTATGTCATTAAAAGCTAGGTAAAAAAATTTTGGACTTGTTTAGCTTCTCTTACCAGTATCATCATTTGTATTGTATTTCCTTAAAATTAATAAAAGATCTTTCATTTTCTTACTTTTAAAATAAAACCCACACCAAATTAAATTAAATCTTCAAATGAGAGGATTCATATTTTAGTTTAAGATTCACCTAAATGATCTCTGAAATCCTTCCTAACTTCAGGAGTCTGTGAAGTTTCCTTTTCTTTAAAAATAATGAATATTTAATTACAATGTTTACAGTTGTATTTGCTATTTATGTATATAGCAGATAAGGAAATTTTTAGCTTAAAAATATGTGTTCTTGGCTTTGAATGAACTTTAATTCTTCAGATGAGTATGCCCAAGCAGTGGACCTGTACAGAGAAGTATTACGTTCATCTGAGGAACACAAAGACAAACTCAAAACTGACTCATTACAAGTAAGTAAATATTTTAACAATTTTGTTTGGATAGTTTTCTTCTTTTTTTTTTTTAAATAAGAATTCCTGGATGTTTGAGATAACTTGTGAATGCCACTAAATGTTACTAGAGAGCAAGAGAACATTTCAGTTGAGGTTTATTAAAAGAAAGACATCTTACCCAAGCATGTCTTAATACTTTGTTAATAATAATAATAATAGTAGCTAACACTGTTTCACAGAGTATTTTGCATACTCTTTTTTTTTTAGGCAGTTGGGGTTAAGTGACTTGCCCAGGGTCACACAGCTAGTAAGTGTCAAGTGTTTGGTCTGGGGCCGGATTTGAACTCAGGTCCTCCTGACTTCAGGGCCAGTGCTCTATCCACTGCGCCGCCTAGCTACCCCCCATACGTTCTTATTTCATTGTCACAATGACCCTCTCATTTAATTAGTATAAACTTCATTATCCCCATTTTATGAATAAGAAACAGGAGAGCTTGAGTGATTTGTCAAAAGCTGTCCAAGGCTAGTAAGCCTTGGCAGTGATGGGGCTTCAGACTCAGTTCTTCTGACTAATCTTATGTTTGTTCCTCTGCATCCTAGAATCTGACATAACGTAGAAGAATGTTACCTGCTGTTCCTTTAAACTTTCACATCACTTTGGACAAAGGGCAGTGGCACCAATTTGTGGCCTCTTAGTTCGTCTGCTCCAAGTGTGGTGACTAGCATGGTGCCCGGAGCATCGTAGGCACTTAATAAATGTTTATTGGCCAATTGACTGAGAAAAGGGTCAGAGAAAAGCCTTTAGAAACTTCACTCCATTCTACTATGGCCACAGATTGCAACTCCATCTTTGGCGAATTGTCTTTCAGTCCATTGATTACAATAAAATCTATAACCACTATTGGGAAAAACAAGTGAAAACCTGTACCCTATGTATGTAAAATAAAAGTTATTGGATGGCAGAACAAAAGAAAAATAAAAATCTGTCCATCTGACTTTGACTTTTCTTATTTTGAAAAGTGTCTCTCTGATTTCTCCATCACATTTTTTGTTACTGCTACAGATTGGATAAATGATGAAGTTGCAAGGGAAGCTTTATTAAACAGGTAGGCATGCTGGTGCCACCTGGATTTGATAGAGGTTTGACTTCTGAAATTTTTTCATGAAGTAGATTTCAGTATTTCGGAAGGTTGACGCTAAAATTCTGTTCATATGAGAGGTTTGTTCTTTATACAGCCTACTGTTATTGGTGCTCAGTATACGATGATAAGTTTTCCCAGAGTAAGCTGCTGCTCACTGGTTCCATGAATGGAATGTTAAAGTTATTGCTTTTTTTGTATGTGTAGAGACTTCATTCTACTCACAATCTGATGGAATTATTACAAGCCAAACACTCAGGAATACCTCCTACCTTGAGAGATGGCAAACTTAAGGAAGAGGTAATTATCTTTATTCACTTTGGAAGAGTAGATTTTTTCAGATTTTATGCTGTTTGTATTTTTAAGTACATGCAGCATTTCAGAATGAATGTGACTATAGCTAGCCTGCTACCTTTACTGCTTTTAATTTTCCTGGGATTGAATTAGATGAAGATTGTCAGCACCTGTAATTATTTTTTTTTCTGTTGAGCTATTTGCCATTGTGTGAGTAGAATAAATCTGAAGTAAGCAGAGGATAATCTGACTATTGGTAGCCAATTGCATAGTTTGGAAATAGACAGTAAATTAAGAAATTGTAAAGGCATAGCTATAAAAGACTTAATTTAGGGAGAAGATCTTTTTCTTCATATTCTAAAATGTTTACTATTACCAAATAAATTTACCTCAAACCAGGGCAAGAAACGTTGTAAAGAGTTAAATGTTATATTCTCTGCTTATCATTTTCCCTTTTGTCTCCATCCCCCATCCTCAATATCTTTTATCGCCTGCAACAACTGGTGCTTCACCCCTACCTTCCCCCCAAGCTACACCAACCTTGTAAGAACCCTTGGCAGTAGTGCAGGGTCCTCATATGTCCCTGAGGAAAGTTGAAAAATTTATTTCCAACTCTAAATCTATAATCCTAGCCTATCTTATCACCCAATACAGGGATTTTTTTTAAGCACCCTTGACTATTATTCAAATTCTATTTAAATACTTCCAGTAGTGGGGAGCCCATTATTTATTGTGATAGCTTAGTCTGTTGGATAGTGTTAACATTCAACAAATAGTCATATTGCAAATGTTGGGTTTGACAAGAAGAATACAAGTAGAGGACAAGTAGAGGAGTAAAGATGCTTTTTATATAAAGGTAATTTGTTATTTTCCTTTTGCTAATCCCAGCTGTATTTGTAGTGCCACATACATTTAAATAAGAACACATGTATATACAGTAGAATACATGTTTAAGCTAAGTAGCTAATTAGTATCAGTTATAGAAATGTTCTTAAAATATCATACAAAATTGCATTCAAGCTCTTGAATGAAGGTCTTTTTATTTTTATATTCAGGCCCAGCAACTTAGACAGCATTACATGAGTAAATCCAATGCAGAGGTTGCAGAAGCCCATCAAGCTTTACAGCCAGTTTTGCAGAACATCCGGGAGCTTCAGAAGAAGGCAAGCTATGGTTATTGATTTAAGTCACAGTTTGACTTGGCAATCTGTAATCATGATTAGTTTGGGGATCCTGTTGGATATCAGTGTTTTTAGATTGTTCTGTAGTATTTCGGTCAGAAGACCTGCCCAAGTTTGAATCCCAGTTCTGCCACTTATCAGGGATGACCATTCCTGCTTTTGCTGTTCTGTGGGATGTTTATGTGTCAAGAACTTAAAAATTATAGTGTTTTATGAATATCACCTGAAGTGTGATGTCAAAACTTCATCTGACATATTGTGAATCTCACATACTGGATTGTGAGATTATGTGTATTTGATTTTTCTAAGAATGTGAATCCCCAACATTTTGATGCATTTTTAACCTGAAACTTAGTTATTTCCAAAAAGATGTTTTAGGGTTAAAAAACAGTAATGTTACACCCACTTAGGGGTGAAACAAGAACATCTTGCCATTTTCAAACTTTCCATTTTGTAAAATAAGTAAAAATGAAAGCCCCGGATAAACAAATAACTGCTTTTTATTCTTTAAATTTTGAGTCACTTCTCTCTTCATATTTCTTCACCAAACATTTTGCATTTTTGTGAATGTCTCCATAAGGTTATCTTAGATTTTATATTGTTTAAACTCTAGTTATGCCACTGGTATTAAATGATCAGAAATATTGCCTTTCTTATAGCTAGGGAGAAGAACTATAGGTTACCAGAATCAAATAATTGCCTCTTAATAGTCCAGAATCAATGGTATATTTTATAATAGTTTTTACCATATGTGTAAACAATATTTATGTATCCAGAATGCTTGAGCAATAGTGTGTTCTTTTTAGTAGACTAAACAAAGAACTACCTGTTCAAGGCATAATAATAATAATGATAATAGTAATTAACACTTGTGTTGTTGTTTAGTCATTTTAGTCATATCTGACTCTTTGTGACCCTCTTTAGGTTTTCTTGGCAAAGATACTAGAGTAGTTTCCCATTTTCTTCTCCAGCTTGTTAGACATATGAGGAAACTGAGGCAAACAAAATTAAGTGATATGCTCAAGGTCACACAGCTAGTAAGTATCTGAGGCTGGATTTGATTCCTGACTCCAGTAACAGTACTCTATCCACTGCCCTACATTTATGTGGCATGTAAAAATTTTTAAGTGCTAGGCTGCTAGGTATCAATGGATCAAGCACTGAACCAGGAAACAGGAAGATCTGAGTTTAAATCCAGCCTCGAATCCTTATAAGCTGTGTGACTGGGCAAGGCAGTTAACCTCTGCCTCAGTTTCCCTAATTATAAAATGGGGATAATAGCAACATCTTCAAGGTTTTTTTGAAGATAAAATGAGATAATATTGATAAAGCACTTTGCAAACCTTAGAAATGCTATCTGTTATCATTATTCCCATTATCATTTGATCCTTACAGTACTGTGTGAGGGAGATACTGTCAGTATTATTAGTCTCTCCATTTTGCAGATGAGGAAACTGAAACTGAGAGGTTAAGTGTCTTGCCCAGGGTCACACAGTTTGTCAAAATAAGAAGTGGGGTATGAATCCAGGTTATCAGACTACAGGTCTATCATTTGCTCCATTCTGCTGTGCAGCCTCCTAGTGCATTTATCATTGTTTTGGGGTTTGTTTTTTTAATAGGCAGAAAAGCTCTTTGAGGGCAGGAACAGTCTTATCCTTTCCTTGTAACTCTCACATTACCTAGCGTAGTGTTAGCCTTGTAGTAGATACTCAATAAATATTAATTTAATGATTGATATTTCGGGGGGGGTTTCTCCTACAGATTCATTCAGGCTCACCTTGGTGGCTAGATGTGATCCAATCAGCAATTCAATATGCTATTGATGAGGAACTTGTTCAGCGTGTGCAGAATGAAATAACCAGCAACTACAAGCAACAAACTAGTAAACTTTCCATGGCAGAGAAGTAAGAAAAATAGCGGATAAGAGTAGGAAAAAACCCAACTAAATATAAGTGTGAGGCTGTAATAGCTTTGAGATCAGACTTCTTATCTTATTAATCTCTGTATTGCTCATAGCACATCAGAGCATACCTGCTTATAGGTAGTCAGTGCCTCTCTTGGAGGCAATGTGATATGGTGAAGAGAGAGCTGGTCGATAATTGAGGAAGATGTTCAAGTCTCATACTGACTAGGTGCCTGTGGGAAAATCACTTAACCTCTCAATACCCTAGCAAAACTTCTAAGGCTCTAAATTGTAGTGTAACTACCCCTATGCAGAGTTTCTTATATCAGTGAAATCATAGGTGTGTTCCAGAGAAGGGAAATGGATAGGAACTGGAATTATGATTTCTTTGGTATAGGGAGCCTCCCAGATGAACAAACTCCTTAGACCAAGGCAGGGTGATTCCTTCTCTGCAGCTTGCAGTCTTAGAGAATTGCTGGATCACTGAGAGGTTTTCTGACATGACAGGTTTACAAGGAGAATTTGTGTCAGAGGCAAGACTTGAACCTTGATCTTCTTGGCTTCAAGAAGCCTCTCTAGCCTCTCTCTCTCTACTGCTCCATTCCGCCTCAACGAATTCCCTCTTTTGTACCAGGCAGAGTTTTGTTTTGTTGTTTCTCTTGTGTCTATTGTAATCAAGCAAGGCTATCCTTGAACCATGTTTTGAGAATTCCTCCCCTGTCCTACTCCATCCTGCTGTCACTGTTCTGCTCCCTTCTGATGATGTGCACACCTCCCATAGCATTCACTGTTCCTGCTTCTCCATTGACTGCCAAGGTTCCCTGCTATTAGGAAGAAAGAAAATAAGCATTTATTAAGTACCTACTATATGACAGGCAATATGCTAAGCACTTTACAAATATTACTTCATTTGATCCCTACAACAGCTCTTTGAGGTGCTATTATTTTCCCCGTCTTACAGATAAGGAAACTGAGGCACACAGATTAGGTGACTTGCCCAGGGTCACATAGCTAATATCTGAAGCTAGATTTGAAGTCAGGTTTTCCCTACTCCCTGTGCGGCATTCTATCCACTGTGCCACCTACCTGCCTCTACTATCATATTTCACCTTACTCCATTTTCCCAACCTTTATGCCCTTCCGTAAAAATATGTGTCTCTTGTATCATTCCTTATAGAGATTTATTGTAAATGGTGATATTGTAAATGGAGGATAATGAGTCCCCTTTCTCAGATAACATAACCTAATTTTGACAAAAGCCTTCAGTGCCTCCACTCAAAAATGAGAGCAGTTAGTAAACCAGACACTGTGAGAGACATATTAGAGTAAGACATTTTAGTGTCTTATAACTTTCAGTGTAACTCTCTCAGACTTTAAACATAAAGTCTCTTTCACCTCTAAATCAGTGAACTGTAAGCATATTCTGAAGAGCTCTAAATGCCAGTGTTAGGAGATGAGAAGCCACTGAAGATTCAAAATTGTTTTCCTTTATCATTGCACATGTTTTCAAAGGCAAGATCATGAGGGTTTTTCTCATTTTTTTTGTCCCATGAAGTTGATTACCACTCAGTTTTTTAAAATAAACTTTTTGGCCTTTTATTATAGGATCTAAGTGAGAAAACAGTATACACTTAGATACTAGTGAAGAGTTATTTTGTGATTATGGTTTTGTTCATATGGTTCAGCTTTGACAGACAACAAGCTTTTGTTAAGTGCTTACACTTCACTAAGCAATAAGGATATGAAAAAAGGAAGAAAAAAAACCTGTCCCTGCCCACAGGAAGCATACGTTGTAATAGAGGATAGACAAAAAGTAAATAATTAGGTACATAGAAGATACATACAGAGTAGATTGTGGTCATCTAAAAGGGGATGGCATTAGCAGCTGCGAGGGACCAGCCTCCTGCTGAAGGTGAAGTTTGAGCTGAGCCTTGAAGAAAGCCAAAGAATCTAAGTTGCAAAGTGGAGTGGGCAGAGCAGTCTCAGTGAGAGAACAAGCAGGAACATAATGTGTTAGAGGAGCTGCAAGTGGTCGAGCATAGCTGGATCACAGAGTATGTGGAAGTGGGGGAGTAAAGTATGTGAAGACTGGAAAGGTAGAAAAGGGGTGGTTTATGAAGACCTCTAAATGCCAGACAGAGCACTTAGTATTTGGTTCTGGAAGATGAAGTTGATAGGGAGTCCCAGACCTATACTTTAGAATAACTACCATGGCACCTGAGGAGAGGATGGATTGGAGTAGGGAAGAGACTTGATCCAGGGAAACCAGTTAGAAGACTGTTTCAGTAGTTCAGGAGAGGTGAGGAAAGATTTAATCAGATTACTCAAATATATAAATACCTAAGAGAATATATATGAAGTGACTTTTCCTTTGTATTCAAACATGAAGTTTCATACTTAAAGACAAAAGTATGCTTCTAGTATATCAGAAAAGAGATTCCTCTGTTTATGATTTCTTAAACCAATAGTTCTTAGACTTGTTTTTGTCCAAGACATCTCCAAACAGATTCTGTAGTTTCAACACACTAGAAAGTTCTGGGATTGGTACATACTATAAAATGGAAGTATATGACATGGTTTGGGTTGGTTTTGTTTTGTTTTGTTTTTTTACCTTGAGTTTATAGTCTTAGTAATCAAAATTTGCACATGAAACAATTAAAGAGTAGTTTTGAATATAATTGAATGCCAGCGTGTATAAGGTAATTGGTGAATGTTTTGGAAAGTGGGAAGCCTTTTTTTTTTTATTGTTGGTTTTTTTTTTCAGCCAGAAAACAAGGTTTATTAAAGATCCGCCATATTAGCCAGACTCTTAAGGAATCTGAGCACCTGTGAGCTATTGGCTAGATTGTAAAAATCTGAGCAATGGCTAGATTATAAGAATCAGCATCTTAATGGAGACAAGATGGACCTTATATAGAGAAAGACTATGGGAGGGATCTAGGAGTGGCCAAGTAGTCTATGAGGTAATAGAACTCCAGGAATGTGGACCATGTGGCCTAGGGAGAATGGAGCCTAGATAGGATTAAGGGTAGGAAGTGGTGGGACAGCTAGGTGGCACAGTGGATAGAGCACCGGCCCTGGATTCAGGAGGACCTGAGTTCAAATCCGACCTCAGACACATAACACTTACTAGCTGTGTGACCCTGGGCAAGTCACCCATTGCCTAGCCAAAAAAGTATTTTTTAAAAAAGGGTAGGAAGTGGCCTGGGGCCTTAGGGAGGTAACAGTGGAGGGCTAGGTTAGGTTTAGGGTAACAGAGAATTGGGAAATTGGGTGTAGCCACTATGAAAGGCCAGTTGATGGGATTATAGCCTCAAGTGAACATCTGAGATTTGGCCATGTGGGAAAGTCCAGTGTTTTTCCTTTCTGGGGTCCAGATCCCAACCCCATCATTCCCCCCTCAAACAAATGGGATGCAAATTTTTTTGGTGTAAGGAAGCCATTGTTGATTAGTATTATTAAGGGAAGGAATGAGGAAAACAGGACTCAAAATGGGCCTTAAAAGGGTTGTAGAATTTGGAAAGTAGAATAGAGAAAATTAACATCTTTAAATTTATAGCTATCCTGCAGTACTTATATTTCATTATTTCTCTCTTCATGCTAGGTTTGGTAAGCTGTAAGCCTCCAAAGAGGGTCTATTATTTTCTTTCTCATTCCCAACTTTCTGGGTGTCCTTCCTCTTTTGTTTATATCCGTAGCCCCTGTTGCTCACCTACTTTTCTTATCTGTTTGTATTTCCCTTAGTCATTTATCTTCATGAAAGATTTCACTTCTTTCCTCTTCCAGGCTTTTCAGTCTTCACATAAGTTCTAGCAGTTTCCTTCCTGTCCTGCATCTTAAAAAAGAGGAACAAGAAGATTGCCTAGAAGTGGGAAGAGTAATGGGAGATAGTTGTAGGTCAGAGGTGTCAAGCACACACCACTCCAGAGTGCAGGAGACTAAAATGTAACTGGGAAAAATTTAACAAAATAAAAATACAATAGAACATAATGTTATGATGTGGTTTTCTTAGTTAATATGGGACCCACAGAGATCCTCATGGGCAGTTTCTTGGCTCAGTATCTATTTGAGTTTGACAACACTATTGTAGGTCATTTCTTTTTGATGACTGTGGTCCAACTCTCATAAAAGGTGTGGGAGGAATGCATCAGAGAAAAGATGTTGTACTTCTCCAGTAGAACCTAAGCTTCTTGAGGGTAACAACTGGTTTTGATTTTGGCTTTGTGTCCCTGAGGCCTAGCACATGATCTGAACTTATGAATTTTTGTTGAATTAAATTGAGGATTGTGTGCTTTTTTAGGATGGGACTGTGTCATCTAGTACTTTTGTATCCTCTTTAGCTACTAGCATGTTGTATGCATGTAGGCATTCCATCAATACTTGGTGATAAGTATAAATGAATAGATAAATACTTTCTGAATGCCAGGCGTTCAGAAAAGCTTCATACTCGAGGATTCCTGGGTGAAGCTTCACAGCATCTCTGTGGCCACTGTAATGCTTTGGTTGGCAACCATTGCCTGAACACCTTGACTTGTTTTGTTGTTGTCATCAGTGGTGGTGGTAGTGGTGTTACTGTTGTTGTTGTTGTTATTGTTGGGGATCAGGTTCCGGGACTGCAGAGGTCTTCAGTACTTACTCACAACACAAATGGAAGAGCTGAAGAAATTCCAAAAACTTGTGAGAGAGGCTGTGAAGAACCTGGAGGGACCTCCATCCCGTGATGTCATTGAAGCTGCCACAATCTGCCACCTTCGACCTGTCAGACTGCCCCTCAACAAGTAGGTAAAAGAAGAAAGCATGTGTTGACCTGTCATGCCTTTATCATCTTAGATTTATTTTGATAGAATAAATAGTGACTAAAGCAGTGAAGCTTTTTCAGTTGGTTTCAGAAAGAAAAGTAAACTTCATATTGCTCTAACTTGTTTTTTTTTAAGCAAGCCTTAAACACTTTCCACTTTCAACCTGTAATTTGCATTCATTTTTTCCCCACAAAATAGTTGAAAATTTAATATGCGCCTGTGTTTTTCCTAAAGCGAACAAGTGGGTTGCAAAATACTCAACACTCTACTGTAAATTACCTGATTGCTAGTTACAGCTGAAAATGTTTTTCTTGGTGATCTCTTCTTTTCCAGCTGTGTCTTTTGTAAAGCTGATGAATTGTTCACAGAGTATGAGTCGAAGCTGTTTTCTCACACGTAAGTTCCCTGATTGCTTATTTCCCATTGGGAAAATGAAATATGGGGTATGGTGTTGTAAGTCTGAGGTTATGTTTTCTTCACAATGACCGTGCTTCCAAGTTTTCTGTTGGAAAATTAATCATTGGAGAAAAGGGATTGACAACAGCGTTTGTAAGTTATGCAGTTTTTTCCCCCAGAGTAGCTGTGAGTGTATGTACACGCAATTCATACGTGTGTATATGTATACATATATACATAATATTATACATTATGTACATATACACACATATTTTTAAAACCTTTAACTCTTTTCTAGACAATATAAGAATATCCAATAAAAGAGTTTTAATGTATAGTTTTCTTTTTACTTTTAAGTGGTATGGATTAAACTTGCAGTGACCAGTCCCAGCATTAAATCATCTGCTGTTTAAACAGTTTTTCATCAGCTAAGGGGGTGGTGGTAAAATGAAGTCAGGTGCTTGTTTGCCTAAGGAGGCAATGAAGAAAGAGAGGGTTCCCCAACCTGAAGTTGCTTCTTAAGGACCCCACCAGGCAATCTGTAGGTGGTAGTAGTTAATCCTGAAGCAAATAATAATAATAATAGCTAGCATTTAGATGGAGCGGTGGATAGAGTGCTAGAAATGAAGTCAGGAAGACCTAAGTTTAAATGTGGCCTAAGACACTTTTTGTGACCTTGAGCAAGTCACTTAACCTCTGTCTCAATTTCCTCAACTAAAGGACAGGAATAGCACCTACCTCTCAAGATTGTTGTGAGGATCAAATGAGATAATATGTCTAAAGCACTCAGCACAGTGCCTAGCACATGTTAAGTGTCATGTAAATGCTAGCTATCATTAGTATCATCATCATAATTATTAACAGTTTCCCCTCCTCCTTCCAGTGTTCCTCTTTCCCTTTTCACAGACTGATAATTTTCAAAATTGCTGTAGTTCCCAGAGCCAAACAAAGAAGTATCTATAGCTATAATGGGAATGCAACAGAGCAAACCTCAACAATTTTTTTTTTCTCCTGGCCTTCCCCTTAACCATTGCCCAGTCACACTGCTTCTGCATCCAAGGCAGAATGTGGACAAATTCAGCAGGTATCATGGTAAAAGCTGTTTTTCCCTTGTATATTTCAAAGGGTGAAAGGCCAAACTGCAATTTTTGAGGAGATGATAGAAGATGAAGAAGGCCTGGTGGATGATCGGCTACCTACCACGAGCCGAGGACTGTGGGCGACAAGTGAGACAGAGCGCTCTTTGAAAGCAATCCTGTCTTTTGCCAAAGCACACCGACTAGACCTCAGACTCATTGAAGAAGGGAATACTTCAATGGAACTCTTTGAAGCGTGGAAGAAGGAATACAAGGTAGAATATGAAAAATTTGCATTTGAATTCTACACTGAATGAACAAGAGGCAACATAGCAGAGCAAATAGCGAGCTGGCCTCAAAGCTGACCTACATTTTAGGTTTAAGCCCTGCATCTATGACTCTAGGCAAGTCACTTATTCTCTCAGCATTCTAGGCAGCTCTAAAATTCTAAATTACAGAGAAAGTGCATGCATTGTGGTCAAGAGAGTTTCCTCACTTGGAAGTTCCCTTTGCTAATGGAATCACAGGTTCACTTCTCGTCTCTCTCCTTTACTGAATGACTATGAGCAAATTACTAATGAAATAATCATGTAAATATCAAGCCTTTCATTTAGCATTCAAATGTGCAGTTAGTAAAAATCTTTGCAAAAAGTTACTCCCAGCTGTCATGTGTTCTCCCCTTTGGTTTGGTACTGTTATTACTTTGATATATTCATGGGTCACTTACATCAGTTGAGCTTAGAAATCCTCTGTGCCTTCTCATCCTGTATGATTCTTGTATTTTCAAAATTTCTCCATCATTTCCACTGAATACACTGGAAGTTTTCTTCTCGTTCTCTCTTATGCCACTGTAATACCCACTTGCCATTGTACCATACAGGCTGGCCATCTGTTTTCTCTTCTCAGATATCTCCAGTTGTTCTGTTTGCACCCCACGTGGGCCATTATCCCCACTCACTTCCTATATGAGATTAGGACTTTGCCTTCAGAGCCATCCTGGGCTTTGTGAGGCCTGCTTTGGCCTTAACTTCCTCAGCTCCAGGTAGAACCCACACTTCCTGGACACCTCCAGGACCTAGCATTGCTAACTCTACCCTCCCACCCCCTTTCATTTATATTCCTTTAGGTATTGTCTTCCATCTTCAGACTGTAAATTCCTTGAGGGCAAGGATTATTTACGAGCTTTTATTTATATCCCTTATGCTTAGCACGTTACCTGACTTAGTAGCACTGAACAAATACTAGCTCTGGTTACCTATCTACATATCTACCTGTCTATGTAATTTTCATCAAGCCATCCCCCTTTTCAGGCATATGTATCTTCGTTAATGTCTTTTTTCCACTCTTAGTACAATTCTATGAAATTAGAGAAAAGAAGGAAGTTCTTTATGTCTCAGCTCACATACCACCTCCCCTGAGAAACTTGGGCCAATTCTCCCCAATCAAAAATAATGCGTCATACGTCTACACTGCACTTTGTTGTAAACTTTGTTATGGAACTTCTCTCTCTCTCACCTTTCTAATATAAACACTTATGCATTTATCTTATATCCTATAATAACTGCAGAATCACTAAGGTCTTGTTCCCCAGCAACAGCACTCTAATGTAATGGACTTGTTGCCACTACCCCTGCTTTTCTGTTGAAATGAGTTGGAGAAAGGAGGAGAAACTATGTATTTCATGTCTAATCATAGATTCCTTTGACACATTTTTGGGAATCTGAAGACTTACTTGGAGAAAAACAAACAGTTTACTTGCTTTTCAGAATCCAACAAAAAATTCCCATAGCCACAAAAGATAATCAAAGTAGTGGAATTACCTTGTATCGGTGCAGCAGTTGCATAGAGTTTAATATACAAATGGTAAATTTGGGTAGAAATGAGCATTCTGAACAGATAATTGCAGCTAGATCAGTCAGCTGGAAGATACTGTGGGTTAATGTAAAAATGCATGTGACGAGAGAAATTATAATGGTGATTCTGTTATAAAAGAGCTTTGAACAGTGTATATAAATAATATTGATTCAGAAACTTCTAGGATTTAGAACAGGAAAGAACCTTTGAGACTTTTTAGTCCAATCCTATCAGTTTACAGATGGAGAAACTAAAGGCCAGAAAAGATAAATGACTATCATGCCCAGGGTCACAAAGGAATCAGTCAGTCAATCTGAAGATTTTTAAAACTCTTGTAAAGAATTCTGTGAGGTGGAGGTGAAGAGAGAGTGCTAGGAAATATGCAAATAATAAGATACGGGCCCACCCTTCCAGGTGTTCCTAATCTAGTTATGTTGAAAAATACCATAGGGATTGTCTAAACTAGCCCCTTAATTTTAAACATTAGGAATATGAGGTCCAGGAAGTGGAAGTGACTTTGCCTAGCTGGTCACACATCTGGTTAGCAGCAGAGCCAGAACCGAAGCCCAATTGTCTAATCCCTCATCCAGCACTTTCCTACTATATATTATGTTGCTGTGTACTCCCTAGCTTAGTACTATAGGGGAGGAAGCACTAGCACTGGATCCAGGGACCTAGATTCAAGACCCATCCCTGATGCAGTGATCACAATGTGTGGTGTGCTTTCCCTGCTAAAATGACCTTGAAGGGGCAGTGGAAGGTCAGGGAAACTGTAGTAAGAACTTGATATCATATGTTTAGCTTGTGAAAAGGGTGTTAGCCCAGGCTTCCCACATTATTAATCTGAATTAGCTGGGAATTTGATTTTTCTTTCCTTTTTTGCTCATTTTTATTATGTTGGAATTGCCAGTTTCCAAATTAGATAGCTAAAATTGTGTGGATAGGGAAATAAATGATCCATCTTATGTAGGTACTTGGTATTATCTCCTAAATGTTACATGGCCAGAGAACTATGTGAGCATTCTGTCTTATTATATAATGCTAGATTTCCCTAAAGATCTCAATGAAGATTTTTGATGAATTATTCCACATTAGGGTTCAGTGCACAACTTTTGTTCCGATTTTTCTTCTACAGTTGCTTCATGAATATTGGATGGTTCTGAGAGACCACGTGTCTGCTATTGATGAACTTGCAATGGCTACAGAACGCCTAAGAGTGCGGCACCCTGATGAACCAAAGCCCAATCCCCCTGTTCTTCACATAATTGAACCTCATGAAGTAAGGTTGCCAGTGAATTTAACCCAGGCAGTGTTGCTCAAAAGACTGTACCTCCAGAGACCTGGAGGTTATGTAGTGTAAGCAAGGAGTCAATCCATAAGTCTTAGTGAGCCTACCTGTGTGCATAGCACTTACTGATTATGTGTACAGACCCCTATATGCTACAGGATTATACCTATACATTTCAGATAGATAATTCCTTACAGGAGATGTCTCAGAAAAGATGTCCTATGAACATTTTAGTCCTCTGTCCCAATATCTCTCATACTTTCAAGGCTAGGAAAATCTTCTACTTAAATTTCATATTTTATTATTTTAGCTCTTTACCAGAAGAGAACAGTTGATATCTGTTCTGTCTATTATAAATCCCTTTGTGTATCTGAAAAATAAATTATTTTAATTGATTCCAAAATCTTTCCTTTTTCATGCTAAATAATCTTAATTCTTTTACAGTTTCTTCATAAGTTCCTTTTCCTAAACATTTTATTCATTTTTACTTGTCAGTGCTTGCAAATTTTACTTTCATGAGGCTAGAGCTAAATGTTTATGTTTAAATATGATTTCACCATTTTTATGAGAATATAGAAACAGGATTTTTTTTTCTTTTTAGGTGGAACAAAATCGAGTAAAGCTATTGAATGACAAGGCAGTTGCCAAATCCCAGCTTCAGAAGAAACTTGGCCAGCTTCTCTACCTTACTAATTTGGAAAAGGTTGTAATACCTTCCTTTATGCATGTTGTGTTGTCATGGTGCCCTCTAGTGGAAGTCAAGCAACACTACAGCAAATAACAGTGATTTTTTTACACTATTAATTTATATTGTAAAGATATATAGAATGCCCTAGGCAGCTCTCTGAGATCATAAGTTTCAGAGATGGTAATGATCTGCATTGGTCAAGGAGTTCCTCACTGGGAGCTCCCTTTACAGATTAAATCATAGGTCTAGTTTCAAAAAAAAAAAGTTATGAAGTCAACTCTGGCAATTTTTAATATAATCCAAAGGGGTATAAAAAGAACATTTCTCCTTTGGATATCTAGAGATAGTCACATGTAGCAAGTAATACATCACTGTATGTGAGTTTACAGGTGTATGGGGGTGCCATGCACACTGTAGTACCTCATAATTTTCACATATTATGCTTGAGTATCTTCCCGCTCCTTGTGCTGCTTCAGTTACTATACCTCTTCCTCACACTGGCAGGTCTAGGTTCTCAGAGAAGGACCACCAACTATTATCTTACACTGAAACTAATATAATCTCCCTGTTTTTGACTCCCAACTCTTAAGCACTCATTAAGGTACTTTATTTATACAAAACCAGCCATTCACAAAAATGACTCTTTTAGATCTTAAATATAAGCATTTACTTAACATTAAAGCAAAAGAAAAAATAATATAATCAGAAGTATAGTCATACATTAAAGTAAATAAAGGAATAATTACATCACAATCCATACATAAACTTAGGTCATACTTTCCCACCAATGCATTTAGTATTTCTGGGAGAGTAGACGTATTTACACCTATTGAAATTTGCTATGGGAACAGAAGTAAAGAAAGCCAAAGTCCTCGGAGTAACAACTCTGGCACTATAAACTTCAGTGTCTTCTTTCTACCTCAGGAACTATTCACACAAGTTCCTTGGTAAATATAATGTCTGTGTGGAACAGATGCTTCCCCTGCCAAGCTAACTAACTTTACTAGGCATGACATCTCAGCCTAGTGGATCTGCTGAGTGATTTTTATGATTCTCTGCTTCTCAGCTATTTGTCTGATCAGCTGAACTTACTTCTCAGCGGCAGCTGTAGTATCTATCACTTCCAGCTTCAAACTTAATGATACAGGGGGCAGTTAGGTGGCGCAGTGAATAGAGCACAGGCCCTCGAGTCAGGAGGACCTGAGTTCAAATCCAGCCTCAGACACATAATACTTCCTGGCTGTGTGACTCTGGGCAAGTCATTCAACCCCAATTGCCTCACTTTAAAAAAAAAAAAAAAGAATCACAGACTTAATGGTACAGTTCTAAAATCTGTCCTTCCACTTCCTTCTCCTTGGACCTATCTTAGCTTATGGTTAGTAAGTCAAAATCTCATCTTCTGCCTATAACTAAGTTACATTTATCTCTTAAGAGAGCAGTTCTGGTGTCCTTATCTCCAATACACTACAGGTTTTCACATTCAAAATAATCAACTGCATGTTTCAGAATTAGTATTAGGGTAGACTTAACTTAGCAACACACTGCTGTAAATGAAAGGGCATTACCTTAAAGAAAGAGTACTTTACATCAGAGACACTGTGAGAGTGCTGGAAATGGCGGCTTCTCTGATCCCTTCCAGCTCTAAGTCTGTGATCCTATGATCCTGATACTTTAGTATAAAACTGTGCTGAAAAATGGAAGCTTACAGTATCTCTGTGCTTTAGGAATTCCATACTTAAATTCTTAAAAGATCATGGTAGGGAACATAATGTATTATAGATTATCTAACCAAGAGAATAAGACTGAACTAGAAATGTTTACAATATTTAGAAGGTTTTAAAATTGGATAATATTTCATATTATACACATATAGATTGGTGGAACATCTCATTAGGATACAATGAAGGGGAAAGATTTTTGGGTGAGACAATTAATTGCTTCCTAGAACAGCTTATTTTAGAAACTAAAAAGAACACAAATGTAGTAGATTTGATCCTAAGTAGTAGATGAGAACTGGTATAGGAAATTATTTTGTTCAACCATTTAAGTAGCATTTACTACCCTCTTTACTAGCTATGTGACCCTGGGCAAGACACTTAACCCCGATTGCCTCACCAAGAAATAAATAAATATATATATATATATATATATATATATATATATATATATATATATATATATATATATATTTTCTACACTCATTATCAATAATGCCAGTTAACTGTTATTCAATTTTTTAAAGTATAGCTTTGGCAAAATTCAGACAGTGGAAAAAATGAAAAGACTAATTAAGTAACCATTAGGAATTTGGGACATTATTTTAAATACCATCTTTAAAGTGGCCTAGAAAAATATACGCTGTAGATTTTTTAAATGGGTGCTGAAAAAAATCTATGCATGTCTAAATACCTAGATAAAAAGATAATAAAGGCAGTCAGAGGAAAGATGACTCCTTCAAAAAAAAAAAAAGCACAAAATACAGGAAATCATGTGTGAATTAAGGGGGGCAAAAAGGAATTGAAATTACAGCTTTCTAAGAACTGCAAAGTTTATTAATATGAGTTTATTTTAATTTTCACTAGGTAGTCACTTGGATGTCCTGATCCTCATAGTACAAAATGTATGTTCTGAGAGAAATAGGAAATAAAAAAGTAGGAGATTCCCCTTGTCTTTTAATGCAGACTTATAAGTTTGAATATTGTTAAATGCATATACTGTTCAACTAGACAAGAAGTAATTGACAGACTAGATATGAAAAAGTCATTGAGATCATTTAAACCTGAAATGATTTAAGTATTCAGAAGTAGTTGAGTTAAATTGTGAAATTTCTGGCCAAGATTTGTAAACTGTTATTTTAAATGGGACAGTGTGCTACGGATCTGGTGGATTGCCATTGTGACTCCATTCTTTTTGGAGAACTTTAGAGTGGTTATTGGGAACTGTAGACAAATGAGGATCACTTCAATCCAGGAAAGCTACTGGAATCCATAAAAAAAAAAGGGTAGGATCATTGGATACTTTAAGCAAGTGTAAGTCATTGAAAGAGAGAACATTGTTTCTTTAGAGGAAAATATGCCTGAATGATCAGTTAGATTTCTTGAAAATGTAAGTAGTCATTTGGCTAACAGAAATTTGAATAGTTGTAATTTATTTAGATTTTAGGTTTTCTAAAAGATTGCATACTCAAAAAAAAAAAAGAATAAGTGAGCCAAATGGGAGAACTGTTTTCTCATAGATAGAGCCAAGAGATAAAAGGTATTAATAATTGAATCTATGTTTATATTATGAAGGGCCCTGAGCTATCTATTATGACCCAAGAAAATGAATCCTCATAGACTTCCCCTGAAAACATCAGCTCAGTGTGCTGCTCTGACCTCCTAAAAGTGAGATATAAGTAGCATAGCAGTTGAAAAATAAGGCATTATCTTACCTTGTACAAAACCAGATGTACTTGTATCTAAAGCACTGTGTATCGGTAAAGTCACTGCATCTCAAGAAAGCTACTCTAAAATGGAGAATATCCAGGGAATTGCAAAATAAAATGATCAAAAATACCAAGTTTAAGAGAACTCTATAATCTGCATGTTATTTCCTCCTGATAGAATGTAAGCTCTTTGAGGGCAGGAACTCTTTTATTTTTGTCTTTGTATCTCTCGCTCCTTGCCCAGTGCCTAACTTGTAGTCAGCACATAATAAATGTATAATAAATAAATTGATAGACTGAGAGTGGAAGCATAACCATAGTGTAAAATCATATGGCATGCACAAGATTAACACATATATTTATCATTTCTTCAAAAAACTGACCATTTCATTTTTCTCAAAACCCTTCTACACCTTAGTAAACAATCTTTGTGAGTTACTGTGACCAAAATAATTCATATTCTAGACCAGAGATGTCAGTTCATGGTCTGTGGACTGCGGCTCACAAAACTGAGTGCCACGAGAACCATATTAAAATGTAATTGGGAAATATTTAACAAAATAAAAATGCAATAAAACACAGATAATGATAATTTGTGGCTTTCGAAGTCAGTATATGGCTTGTAAGGATCAATTTCTATTTGAGTTTGACGCCACTGGTCTAGATAACCTAGTGATTAGTGGGTGACGTTCTGTTACTGAGACTGTACTTAAAGCCTTTCCTGCTTCCAGCATGTTCATTTTCCTTACATAGTCAGAACCCAGAATCACTGCCACACTAGGATGAAACATCAGATTATAGGGCTATAGTAGAGTAATTTTCTTTACCCAGTTAATTAATAAATACTTATTAAGTATCTACCATTTTTGAGGTTATCTTATCCTGAAATACTAGAACTGAAGGACACCAGTTGAAACTTAAAAGGGAAAATTAAAGAACTACAAATGACATGCTTATGAAATTCACTGCAACAAATTATCATAAAGGTCAAAAATATCTAGTTTAGACCAATTGATGATAGATCCATGATAGATTTTTCATGGGGAGTAGGTCTCTTGGTGAGTTACATCCCTAAGCCTTTAAAGTTATGCTTAATGAGCTGGTACCTCAAACTCAAAATGTCCAAAACAGAATTCCCTATTTTTCCCCCAAGATCTTTTGCTTCCCTTACCTTATTCCTTTTTTTTTTTAAAGAAGTTAGTAGAAAAACTGTCCTAATAGAGTTTGAGGTATCATGGGATATCTAGTTCAACTTTAAAGCTTGAGAATGTGATTCCACCCCATACCTGCTTTCTTCAGTAATATATTTACGGATCTGTCAGAGTATTCAGAACATAAACTGTGATGCTATAGCTGTCTGCCAAATTTTTTTTAACTTTAGTTTTCACATAATGTACAAAATTGGATTCCATAACTTATTAGTAAAAGTAGCATTTAGTTGTGTTTTGATAGTTATATGTGTTTGTGTGTGATAATACAAAAATGACATTTTATGGTGTTTTAAGGTTTGTAAAGCATTTATCTAATATTACCTCATTTGAACTTCACAAGAAGTCTGTGAAGGAAGTGCTGTTATCCCCATTTATGCATGAGGAAACCAAGGGTGAGAGAGTTTGAATAACTTCCCCAGGTCCATGCAGCTAGTAAGTATCAGAGATAAGATTCAGATTCAAGTTTTTGCAACACCAGATCTAGCATACTATCCATTATGCCATTTAGGTATAACTACCATACAGTGAAGTTAAGAAATATAGTAAATTAGCACAATTATGTATCAAGTTGCTTGACACTGTGTACTTGTTTAAAAGTAGCTATTAAAGGATACATGCTATACCTACAAATTGTGAAATATCAAGTCAGATAAATCAAAAGCTGTCGCTCAGGTTTTTTTGTATTGTATAAATAAACTGGACTAATTGAATCTCTTACTGAGGCAGCTAGGTGGCACAGTGAATAAAGCACTGGGCCTGGAGTCAGGAAGATCTGAGTTCAAATTCACGCTCAGCCACTTACTAGCTGTGTGACACACCTGTATGACGAAGCCATTTAACCTCTGGCTGCTTGCCTGCCTCAGTTTTCTCAACAGTAAAACAGAGATAATAGTAGCATGTATTTCCCAGGGTTCTTGTGAGTGAGGATCAAATAAGATCATAAAAATGCAAAGCATTTAGCATGGTGTCTGTCATGTAGTAGGTGCTGAATAAATGCTCTTCCTTTCCCTTTCCCCACAACTTTACTACCAGATTACCTGGATGTATTTGACATCATGGTCTAGCTTTGCATACACTCTGCCTCTAGAGGAGTGAGATATTCATATAATTTTGACTAAGTAGTGTGAATTATTACCTAGAAATGGTTAATTGTATTAACCATGTGTCAGTTGTGTGCTGTCTTTAACTACATAACTAAATTGTTAGAAGCTAATGGTTGATTAGATATGCTTTGGGTACAACTCAGATTCTTAGATATAATGACTTTCCACAAATGTGAGAATTTTTGTCACTGTAGAACTGCACAGAAATTCACTATAACACATCAAACTGTTTCCTTAAAAGCTTTTCCACAATGTACTTTGTTAAATAGCCCACACATTTCCATTTTTGTTAACTGAATTTTTAGAGAAACTTGGAAATAATTGAATCTTTTTACACCAGCAACTTTTCCACCTTTTTACTTGTATGACTTGAAAACTGATTTTTACCCTGATTGATTTTTTTATAAAGGTTGGCTCTGACTTTGTGGGCTGTGTATGGTGAAAAGTATAACTTGGAAAAGGCTAAGTGTATAACACAAATTTATTCTCAGTTGTCCTTGACTTGAAATTTCACATGACCATACTTGCTCTCACATCTTTTTTTTTTAATCACACAAATTTAGATAGTCATGAATTTAAACAGATCTCTATGAAGCCTATAGCTAAGAGGTTTTGCACCTAGTACAAATGGTACAGACTGTGCCCAGGACAGTTGGCACAAAAGGCATACCTTGGGGTGGCAGGGAGGAGATATGTGGAGTTGTCCTCAATTTGAAAAGTCAAAGTTTTGAGGGAAAAAAGTCCCAAGGATAGGAGGAGGCAGAGACATACCTAGAATGGTGTGACTTTCTAACAAAGGCTTGGGGACTGGGCCTTTTCCCTTGCCTTTACCCACCTGATATGTTCCTGCCCATCTCTTGCCTTTCTCCTAGGGCAAGTCATGTTTAGAAGCGGTGGAAAACTGTAGGCCTACAGAAACATTCTCCTCCACCCTTAGGCCCTGTAAGATTCCGGAATCCCCCTTTCCCATTATAAGTTGATCCACCACACTTTCAACTTTGCCCTTCCTTACTCAGGAGACTTGAGAAAGCTTAAGAAGAAAGGAAGGGCTCAGGAGACTTGAGAAAGCTTAAGAAGAAAGGAAGGGCTAAACTTGGACAGAGACAGGCAGAGGTGTATCCAGTTAGGTAAGGAGGGACAGATGTATTGTTTCTTTTTCTCTACCCTAAGACCCTTCTTTCCAGAGACTGATTGTGAGGGAGGGAAGGAAGGAGTCATGAAGGACTGTCATAGTCCTCCAGTTACCTCTTCTCTGCAGGGAGCAAAACACAGTGCAAGGTATCCTGCTGTTGGCACTAAGGGTGCAGGCTCACTGGGCAAGAGCTGGGCTTTTCCTCCTCACTCTTAGCTTGGGCTAGACCTTGTGTCCCACTAGTCTGGCTCCCCCTGTGGTAACAGAAATCCTACTTTACTCTCACAATCTCTGCTTGTTATTCTACTCCCACCCCAACACCAGGTGCCTCCTTCTCCAACTTTCCATCCCTGTGCCCTTGCCTTCTTGCTGTCATTTGTCAGGAGACCAGTTGTTGCAGTCTAGTTATGGGTGTGGTTCGTTGTTCAGCACAGTCAATTTTTTGATGATGTATAGATGCATTCATTTGTATACAGCAGGCCTGCACAACCTGCAACCCATGGGCCACTTAAAGGCCCTTGGAATGCTTGCAGCACGTCAAAGGATTTCAGGCGACCTGTGAAAAATGTAGAGGAAAATATCCTTTGTATGTAGAGGAACTCCTTGGCCAGGGCTGCAGGTTGTGCAGGCCTAGTATAGATTATTTTGTCAAGGCTTGTTTTCTAAAGATTAGCTTACCATATACATTTAGTTGTGAATCAGTTGAAAATATTTGCAGATGTTTATCAATAGGAAAAAGCAGAAATTTTAGTGACACTTAAAAGATCAGATAAAATATTAGTGTTTTTACACATAGTACTTCTGGGTTTACTTAATTACTAAGGCACTTGATATAGCAATGAATTTCCATTGATTAAGCTTCTGTAAAATTGTTACAGTTGGTGTTAATGGCAGTTCTTATCTCCTGAATCACTGAGATCAGAAACCCTTTTTGGTAGTTCAGTAAGGTTTAGAAAATATTTTCTCTAAAAGTTAAAAGTGGATTTATTGTTATTAAGGTTATTCTAAAAATATCTCACAAGATAATTTCCAGATAAATGATTCTACTTCCTTACCTAGATTAGTATCCCTTTCATCCAACCCCCTAAAGGATTAGGTGATTATTTAATTTAATTTTTCATTAGGAAATTCAGTTAAGTCCTCCCCTTGGGAACTATACCCTTGCATTGAATTATTTAATGGAGATTTTGAACAGTTAATATTATTTTCAGTTCTAATTTGCAGGTCTTTCCTTCCACGTCAGCAAGTTCTTTTCCTTCCTTCTAATTTCTTTTGCTTTGCTAAAGAAAGTAAAAAGATTCTGTTTAGAAGCTAGTAATAATTAGAATACATGCCAAACTGTTGCTTTTCTGAATTTATTTTTTAAATTTGCAACTAATGACCTAAGTGTTGACACAGAATAAGTAGGAAGGCCTCCATTATAGTCATAGTGTTCCTTTATTTTCATATCTTAATTGGTAAGTGCTTAAAGGGAAACAACATTCTTTTGCAGTAGAATCCACACTGGAATGCAATTTGGAAAAATTAGCAGTGTTATGTCACATTTTGCTTCAAATTGTATTCCCTAGCATATTTATAAAAGTTTTTAAAGTACTGACTTTGAAATAGAGCACTAGTATTCCACTTAAGGAAATATTTTGTGGCCTTTGTGATAGCAGAATGTGTCCATTACCAGCATTGTTCAGATAATATCTTAATTATGCCTCTGATATTATACCAGAGAAATCATTATTTCTATAATGTTGTCAGTTCAGGTCATCACATGTTTATGAAGTACCTGCAAGATGTTTTGAGTCCTGGAGATTTTAAATAAATATATGTATGTATGTATGTATGTATGTATTTATGTGTGTATATATGTGTGTGTGTGTATATATATATATATATATATACGTGTGTATAAAAATATATTTATAAATAAAAAGTGACACAAGTCCTGCTCTCCAAGTGCTTACATTCTAATGACTACATGATAGCAGCTATATAAATAGATGAGACAAGGGAAAGTACAAAGGAAAGAGCCAGATAAAATGTCCGGAAAAGTGTAAGAAGAAAAAGATCACTTTCCACTTTTACCCTGAGAGCAGAGGGTGTCAAGAGATTATTTTGTTGAAGAAATGGCATCAAAGTTAGACCTTGAAGGAAGGAAGACATTTACAGATTGGCAGTCAAAAAAAGTGAAATCTAAAGGCATAAAAGAGGAAATGGGAAATAGAGAATGGCCCCCATTACCTAGAATCTAGAATAAAGGGAGTGCTATGAGCTTTCTATTTTATGCTTTAGGCATTGGGCAACCTATAGTGATATGATTATGATACATTATGGAATCACAGAATTACAATATTAGAAATATTACTGGAGCCGGAGTGTAGAGGAGAAATTGGAGATGGGACATGTTAAAGGCAGGAAGACCGTACTTCTAAGTAACATTTGGAATAGTAGAGGCAACAAGAGATGGAGACCACATAATTGATTTTGAATTGTACTTTAATGTGAACTCTAAGGTTATTAGTCATATTTTAGCTGCATGATTAGGTCTGAAAACTTTTGATGGATTTTTATAGTTTTTTTTCCTTAATATTTTATAGTCTCAAGATAAGACCACTGGAGGAATAAATCCAGAACCTTGTCCAATCTGTGCTCGGCAACTGGGGAAACAGGTAAAATAGTAGTGTATTATAAAGATGGGCAAAAGATAATCTCTCCTTTCAAAGAGCTCAATCTAATGGGGGAGACAACATGCAAACAACGATATAAATGCCAGAGATATACAAAGTATATTGGAGATAATCTACGGAGGGAAGGCACTAGCAGTAAGGGGGAATCAGCAAAGGCTTATTATAGAAGGAGTGATCTTAACTGGGACTTGAAGGAAGACAGAAAGCAGAGATGAGGAGAGAGAGATTCCAGGCATGAGGGACAGCCAGTTAAAATGCTGGAAGTGTAGAGATGGAATGTCTTGTGTGAGGAACAGCAAGGAAGTCAGTGTCACTGGACCACAAAGTATGTGGAAGAGGGTGAGTAAGGTCTAAGAAGACCAGAAAGGTAGGAGAGGGTCAGATAACAAAGGGCTTTGAATGCCAGAGAATTTTATATTTGAGCCTGCTGGTGATAGAGATGGGTTCTTTTAAAAAGGAAACAAACAAAAATAATCATATGTTGTATTTCTAATTTGCATTTAAAGAATATTAGGACTGTTCATTATTAAGAGCTAGAATTATAACTTTCAAACTTTTCCTTCCCACCTAGAACAAAAATTTGAATGTTTTCACATTTTTGGATTCTTTGATAGCAACCCACTGAGATGTTGCTCTCTGTTTTTTCCTTTAGTGGGCAGTACTGACCTGCGGGCACTGTTTTTGTAATGAATGCGTTGCCATTATCATCGAGCAGTACAGCGTGGGCACCCGCCGAAGCTCAATTAAGTGTGCCATCTGCCGACAGACAACTTCACATAAAGAAATCTCTTATGTCTTCACTGCAGAGACTGCAAACCAGGAAGAGGATATTCCTGTGAAGGTAACAATAATTCAGGAGCACGTTAAAGCACAATTTGGAACAAATTGATGGGAGCAACTGTGTCTGCCAAATGACAGAAGTCATCAGAAAAGATTTGGATAGGGAGGCTACAGGCATTAACAGTTATTCAAGGCACAGTCTCTACATGTAGCCATTCTCTGCCAGGTGGCCCTGAAGGCGTTAGCTTTGTTGTCAGTTTTCTCATTTTGCAGAAGACCAGAGGCAGTGTCCTTGTTCTTGCATGAAGAACCACAGACACAAACACCCCTGAAAGTTGAGGCAGATAAAGGAGCATTGTTGAAGAGTTCTGTTTTCTTGTCACCTTCTTACTTAGCCTCTGTAAGTAGATAAGATTTGTGGTTAAATAGGAGTCTGTTTATAAAAATTTTCTCCTTTTTCCCCATTTGACCTGGGCAACTGAGAACAAGGATGTTTCTTACTCCTTTGTAGCAAAACTGAATTTAAAATGTAGGCATTAAGTGAGTGAATGTTGCCACAAGAGGGAGGCAATGAGCTATTGGATCGTAGATTTACTGTCAGAAAGAACATTAGAGTTGAATTACTCCTCATTTTGTGGATGAAAAGGCTTAAACCAATGGGTTAAATAAGTTATCCAGAATCATACAGGTATTACACAGGAGAGACAGAATTTGAGCCCAGGTCTTTTGATTACAAATCCTTTTCTCTTTCCAGTCAATCAATATACAAGTCTTCACTGTGTGCCAAAAACTGTTCTAGTGATGCATATAAAATGAATGAAATAATCCCTGCTAGCAAGGAGCTATCATTCTGCTGGGGAAGACAACAAATACATATAAGCATATATGCTGAATAAATGTAAAGAGAATAAATACAAATAAATACTAAGCTGTTAAACTCCAGGTATTTGTGGGGAGGAGGTCCCAGCAGTTGAGAGGCTCAGGAAAGGCTTCATGTTGAAGGCAGTGCTTGAGCCACTTTTTGAAGGAGTAGAGGGATTCTGCAAGGTGGAGGTGAGGAAGGAAAGGACAGAGAGGACAGCCAGTGCAAAGATATGGGAGTAAGATGGAGTGGGGGTGTGTGTGTGGGGGGGGGTGCACGCACGCGCGCACGCACAAGAAAGAAAAAGCCAGTTTGGCAGAATCACAGAGTGTGAGAGGAGGAGTAATATCCAGTGAGGCTGGAAAGAGAGGTTGGTGCCAGGTTGTGGAGGTTTAAAAAGCTAAACAGAGGAGTTTGTATTTTATCCTGTACTGTGTTACAGTGAAGTTGGGAGGGAGAATCTAGAGGTATCAGCATTGGCCTTGGGTCATAGAGAGTAATAATTTCCATCAGTGCTCCTTTGGGGAGTTGTTGATATTGATGTTATGGCAGCTAGGTGGCACAGTGGATAGAGTACTAGACTTGGAGTCAGGAAGACTCATTTTCCTGAATTCAAATCTGGCCTCAGACACTTACTAGCTATGTGACCCTGGGCAAATCACTTCACCCTGTTTGCCTCAGTTTCCTCATCTGTAAAATAAGCTGGAGAAGGAAATGGCAGACCACTCCAGTATCTTTGCCAAGAAAACTCCAAATGGGGTCACAGAGTCAGACATGACTGAGACAGCTAAACAAACAACAATATTGATGCTTTCTCGTTTTTTTGAAAAGGTCTGCATTTTACTTAATGGAATAGAGTCAGTTGCTCTTGTTAAAAGTTTCAACAGGTGATGCTGATGCAGGTTGTTATATGCAAAAAGTAAAAATAAAAGTGAAACTGAAATGTTAATCATTTCACAGAGGCTTTTTTTTTGTTATCTCTAGTAGAAGCTGAATATTTTATTGGCTTTGTAGCTCCTATGCTTGCTATAAGGTTGCCATGTATCTTTTTTCTTAGTTACTATTTACATTTAATTTCAATGCAAAAAATGTCATAAGTTTTTCATTTCCTCAAGATCTTTATCCAGATTGTTTGTTTGTTCTTATTTAAAATTTTTCCTTACTGTAGTTCATGTGTACTGGTTCTGCTTGTTTTCCACTTTGTATTATTTCATAGAGTTCTTTCTAAATTTCTTTGTATTCTTCATTTTTGTCTGTCTTAATGCTATAGCATTTTGTTACATTAATGTGCCATCCTTTGTTCAGCCATTCCCCTATTGCTAAGCATTAGGTTGCTTCTAGTTTTTTGACATTACAATTAATGCTGCTAGGATAATCTTTTAACAGCTTTTATAAAATCTTTGATAGCGTTGTCAGGGCATATTCCCAACAATGAAATTATTAGGTCAAAGGGTATGATTACACCACTGCTCCTAAGTAACACTTAAGATATTTTTTGGTAGTACTCTTATTAGTCCTCATCATATGTAATACTTGATTTTCTCTTCCCTCCATTCACTACTATTAATTAAGTGCCTAGTTTGTTCAAGGAACTATGCTAACAGACAGGATACAAGAATTAGAAACAGTGTTATCCCTGACCTCAAGGGACTTTCAGTCTTATCGGGGTTACAATAGGTACATAAGTAAATATGGCAGAAAGTAGAACATGATAAAGGAAATGGAAAATTCCAGAGAACCATAAGAAAATTTGAGAAGGGGCAACTGACTTTCAGTGGAGGAAGATCACAGACAGCTGCACAAAGGAGACAGTATGTGAGTTAAGTCACATAGAAAGAAGAAGAGTTGTTTTGTTTTGTTTATGACTAGGTCTCCCTGTCTTGCCCAAGCTAGAAGTTCTGTGACTTCTTACAGGCCCAGTCCCACTACTGACTGACACAGGAGCTTTGACCTATACCATTTCCAGTTGGGGAATTTTACCTCCCCAGGAAGCTTAGTGGCTCCATGTACCTGGGGGCTTACCTTATTGGTGCCAGATTTAGTGCAGCCACCAGATCAGCTTAGTCCATTACAGCTTAACTACTGAGCTCAACCAGTCTGTCAGTGGTACTAGAAATTATAGGCATTCTCCATCACAACTCAGCTGAAAAAGGAAGATTTCAGCACGTAGCTATGGAGGGAATATATTTGAGACATGGGAAGTGGCCTGCACAACCATACTGGCAGTAAAGTACAGGGCAGATGTGGGGATTAGCTAGTAGTCCCATTTGGCTGCAACGTAGAGTATTTGAAGGATCATGGGATTTAGAGCTGGAAAGACTCATTAGAAATCATTTAACCCAGTCCTCCCATTTTATATATGAGAAGAATGAGGTCAGAGGAGATCAAATGTCTTGTCCAAGATTGCACAGCTAACAAGTAGCAAAGCTGAGGAATTAGTGTGAAATATGACTGGAAAGATAGGTTGAAGCTAGGTGATCGAATGTAAGCTACTTGAGGGTGGGGGCTCTTTTCATTTTCTATTTTGTATCCCCAGTGCTTAGCACAGTGGCTAGTACTTAATAGGCATTTACCAGGTATTTGTTGATTTATTGATTGTGCAGTGCCCTACATGCCAAACTAAGGTTTTGTATTTTATCCTACAGGGAATAGAAAACCACTGATAACTTTCTGATCAGCAAAGAGACATGGTCAGACTTGTGCATTAGGAAGATTAATTTGTCAGTTGTACCAAGGAGGAATTGGAAAGGAGACTAGAAGTAGACAGACCAGTTAGAAAGTCTATTGCAGTAGTCCAGGTAAGACACAATTAAACTCAACTCAGTGAACATTATAAAGTCCTTACTCTGTATCAGGCACTGTGGTGAGTACAAGGGATATAAAGGCACACATGAAATAGTCCTTACCCTCAGGGAGCTCCTATTCCACTGGATATGCTGAAGGTGTGGGTTGTGGCTGTGTGAGTGGAGAGAAGGGAGAGATTCAAGAGATTTTATAGAAGTAGAATCAGTAGGACTAAATAACTGATTCGAGGTAAAGGAGAAGGACTGTAAGATTTCTAATAGGTATAACTGGGAATGTAGCAGTGTTGTTGTTTGTCCTTCATTCTCGAAGAAGACTATGACATCAGAAAGGTGGTGCTATAACATGCAAGTGAATTGGCTGTAAGTGAGAGAGGGTTCAGGTCACCAGCCTCACTTTCTCTTCTGAAGCCTTCTGGGTTCAGTGGCAAGCTATAGATCAGGATGACTGGAGAAGGCTCCTGGAAAGAGGAGGTAGATAGGTTTTAGTGGAAAGATATTTACCTTGGGACATAGTGATTTAGATCTGCCAATAAGAAATCCAAGCTAAGTCTCTAACAAGTAGTTAGAAGTATTGGACTCAAGCTGAGGAGGAAGGTCAAGAATTACATATATAAATTTAACAGTCTTCTATATAAGGGAAGGGGAAGGGAACAAACATTTATTTAATATTTTATTTTTTTCCCAATTAGTGTAAAAACAGTTTTAACTTTTTTTTTTCAAATTGTGAGTTTCAAATTGTCTCCTCCCATTGAGAAGGCAAGCAATTTGACATAGGTTATACCTGTGTAGTAATGCAAAACACATTTCCATGTAAGTAATGCTGTGGGGAAAAAAAACATACAGACAAAAAAAAGTAAAATAAAGAAAAGGTATCTTTGATCTACCAGTTCTTTCTCTGGAGATGGACAGCATTTTTCATCATAAGTCCCTCAGAATTGTCTTGGATCACTGTATTGCTGAGAATAGCTGATTTATTCACAGAAGATCCTACAGTATTGCTGTTACTGTGTACAATATTCTTCTGGTTCTGCTCATTTCACTTTACATCAGTTCATGTAAGTCTTTCCAGGTTTTTCCAAGAGCATGTTCCTTGTCATTTCTTAAAGCACAATAGTATTCTATCACAATCATATATCACAAATTGTTTGGGCATGCCCCAATTGATGGGTGTCTCCTCAGTCTCCAGTTCTTCGCCACTACTAAATTATAAATATTTTTGTACACATAGATTCTTTTACTTTATGTTTTTTAGTCTCCTTGGTATACAGACCTGGCAGTGGTATTATTTGGTCAAAGGATATGCATGGTTTTATGGTCCTTTAGGCGAAGGAACAAGTATTTATTAAGCACCTACTGTGCACCAGGCAGTGTGCTAACCACTTTAGAGATATCCTC